CACTCCTCTCCCCTGCGAACAAACCGAACCCACCTCTATTTATTCAATATATTTTGGTTAAAATATTTGTTTGGTGCACTCAATGTTTCATTTTGGGTATACTTTCATAATTATGATTTTGGGTATAGTTTTTATTCTATTTTTATCGTTTAAAATTATACAGCGGGTACTATCTATATTACATGTTCTAATTTACATGGTAATATATTAGTATTTTTTATTTTCTAGGTGACCAAGTAAAACATCGAATAATATGATTGAGTTTTTAAATAGGTAAAAAATAATTGAAAGACAATTTGCGGAGGTTTAAAAATCAAATTGAAAATTTTAAAATCATAAAAACCAAATATAAAGTAAGCTCAAATATGGGCCATAATGACTTGATTGAAACTAAGCTAGAGACTAAATGAATAATTTAACAAGGAACTTAGTACTACTTTTTAAAAATTTGATAAATATGAGACAATAGTAAGCTAGCACTATTAAAATCCAAGCTAGCAAAGGCTACATTAATTCAGTCCAACTTCCAACATGGTAGGCCAAAAGTGGAAAAATGTCAACATCAAATTTTCCTATTAAAGAAGAAAAAATCCCATTAATTAAAAAGATGATGCTAATAAATTAATTAAGCTGAAAGTAATTATAGTGGGAAGTAAACTACATGAGGCTAGCTAGGGTTTTTTGCCTTTTTGTTCAAAGGTGCAAGTGAATGAAGATTAATGAGAGAAGTTGTGTTATTGACTTTGTTGGTATTATGAGATTATTTTTTTCTTGCAATATACTTAATTTTTGAAAAAAAAAATAATAAGAAAAAGTCATTTAATGAAGTGGAGAACCAATTATGCTTTGTTTGGTTCTTTTAATATAAATAATTTCTAGAGCTAGCTAGGGTGGGAGAACAACTAACCATTTTCTTTTATTTCTTTTTGTTAGGTCTAAACCCAAACAAGTCACTATTTGGGCATGTGGGAAGGCATTGCTTAGTTGTTTTCATGAAGATTGCCAGCAATTTATATTATTTGATGGCCTTTAATATATATATACATATTCCACCATTTTCAATTCAAAGATTTTCTGGAGCTTTATTTTTTGTACTTACTATGACAAAATTTATATTTTAATGACAATTTTGGATTTGATACGAAACTTTAGTTTACATTTGGACGTGGGAATATAATAAATTCATATTGGTTAGAAATGATTAGATCTCTTAAATATATATAAGATAAAGACACCGAATCATACCTTCTATGGATACCAAGTCTTTTATGTATAATTTAAAAGTAAAAATATGTAGACCTTAAAATTACTTTTAAAATTATAGTTTTTGTTTCTTTTTTTTTTTTTACCAAAGTACTTTAATTTTAAATTCCTTAATAAAAAGCATTTAGTGATGAGTTACTTAATCTACTTGTGAGTTGGTTTTAAGCGTTTTCCAATCAACAAGCCAAAAACTTTAAAAGTTGTTGTCCAAAGGAATGACATAAAATATACTTTAAACTACTTTCGACTTTTTCTAAAATCATTTTAGGCTAAAAATGATTTTAGCCTTGTTAAAATATCTCTAAAATGAGATAATATCATATCATTTTAATTTATGAGGAAATCTTTTACCAAGTTACCACACCAATTAAAAGTATATATACAAAAAAAAAATCAGAAAAAAATTAAGAATATCTATACAAAATTATTATATTAAAGGGATGCAATGTACGTACCAATAAAAAAAAAATCATATCCATTACTTTTTTTAATGAAGGTTTGAGGTTCGAACCGTACGTCTGGTGGTGCAGGAGAGAAGTTTAAATTAATTTAATGTATACCGCCAAATATATATTATAAGGGTTGATACGATACCGAACCATACAAATACTAATTAATATATATTATTGTATGATTAAAAAGACGGGACCATTAACATGCGTTGAGCACATGCATCTCAAAGAATACATTTTTTTTTATATCACCAAAATAATTAATTTGAATTCTTTGGTTTTGATATTACCAGCACCTCAATAGCATTATTTATTTGATCCGACCTGAAAAATATATAAATTAAATAACAAAATGAAGAAATAAAAAATAAAAAATAACCAAATGATAAACAATTATTTATTTATATTATAGGGTTTTATAGATGGAGAAACCCAGCTAATACTTTCAAAATTGTACAATTTTTCTTTTCAATTTTTATAAGAGAAGGAGTCCCATGCTATTTGTTTACTAATTTTAACAAATGCAACTTAATTACCCATTCAAGTAATAATCTTTGACCTAAAGATCTCATATATATATATATATATATATATATATATATATATATATAGCTACACACCCACATAATCTTGTCTTCTCTAGAAATGAAAACCATAGAGAACATTGAGGGTAGGATGGAATGTCATTTTTTTAGAACAGGACGTGGAGGTAGGGGATCGAATTCATAATCTCTTGGTTAGAGATATATGTCAATTACCCCTGAATTATTCTCGCTTTGACGATAGATGAAAAAGTTATTAAATCAACTCTTAAAATATGAAAAGCTTTAACCCTTTCAAAATACATATATAACAATGTAATTTATAATTCAATAATATTGAACGTTAAGGGTAGATGGAATGTCATTTTTTAGAACAACATGTGAGTTCAACATCTTAATTTGAGATATATATCAATTATTGTTTGTTTTGAGGGTAGGTTTATCATATTCATTGTTTGAAATTATAAAAAAGTTAATAATGTCGTAAAAACCAAATGCACCTTTTCCCAATAGGTACTTTGGAAAATCTAACCTAATAAATAGGAGTTCTTTTCTTTTTTTCTTTTTCTTTTGAGTTTCCTAATAAATAGAAGTTGAAGGTAGGACAACATAGTCCTCCCGAGGTTCAAAGTTTGTCTTAATTTGAGCATACGTGTCGCGTAATAACGGGAGAAAAAGGAAAAAAACACTAATAATATAAAAAAGGAAAATTAAGATGTGAAATAAATTATATTGGAAAGTATTGATTGATGTGTCTGAGGCATGTCTAGAAATTCATGAATAAGTACATTGAAGTATGTCTATTCTAGTTGCTATGCAGCTTTCGTACATACCATAGTACTCAACATTACAATTTTAATGTTTTCTTCCAATTATTCTCTAAACTATTCACATCAAATTATTTCCAATTCCCCCCTTTTTTTAATTAATAAAGTTTAACGAATAATTTTGTTCTCCTGCACCATCTTTAAAATGTGTTATTTTAATTGAATAAATAATTAACCAGAGTTGAATTGAAATCCTTTTTTTTTTTTTAATTGAGGGTAGAAACGTTCTCGCGACCTTCCAACTTTCCATTTTACAACCAAAAAAAGGACCATCAATTTCAATACTGTTTAAAAATAAAAAATAAAAAAACGATAATTGACCGGACTTGACCGAGATTGACCATAGAAACGGATCGGACGGTCCAAAATGATCGAAGACGAGAAGGAATGCCATCTGTGGCAGTGGAATGGCCCGCCCCCGCCCCCCGGTTTTGCTAGGAATCTTCCTTAAAAAAATACTATTTTTTTAACAAAATTAAATAAATAAAGAAGGAATGAAAATTGCTTAATTCTGTAGCGCGTGTAACTCATGACCCCTTCTTCCAGAAAATATTTAATTTATTAAATTAAACAAAAAAAAAAAGAAAGTATCCCAAACCTGTCCTTGCGAATCTTTGAAAAGGAAGACAAACTCCACACAACGACGTCGTCAAGTCCTCACCAAACCAACCTCAGCCTCTTTTCCATTTTTTAGAAACAAACCAAGCATTCTGTTCGTCTTCGTACCTACCCAATTTTCCCCCTAAACTTTATTACTTTCTTACTTTCAATTATTACAATATGAATGTCTACAAGCAAAGTCATTATTATAATAATCTAATTAAATTTAATTCACCGGAATTTAATTTACGTATAGAGTGTATTTGCAATTACAATATTGTATTCAAAGGGAAATTTTTAAAATTTTACAATTTTATTTAGCGTAGAATTTCCTGTCGTTATCCGATCCTCATGCAAATTCTCTATAAATATTCCCTCTCCGACCCACCATTTTCTTACCAACACAACACATATAACAATTATTTCTTCTTCTTTCTTCATCTCGAATTTATTGTTTCATTTTTCGAATTGATAAAGATGACCGAGAATCTTCCAGTTCCAGCTTATTTCATCGTCACTTTTTTCATAAGCCGTTTAAAATCCAGCATGGGCAAATCCAAGCCATGGACTAGCTTCCACCTGCAGCCAAACAAGCTCCGGCTCCGAGACGATCCCGAAGCTTTAAACTCGGCCTCCACCGATTACGGAAACATGGTCAAGGAAACACCCGCCGCGGTTCTAAACCCTTCTTCCATAAACGACGTCGTCCAGCTGATTTCCTACGCCTACAACAATCCCATTCCCTTCCAAATAGCGGCGAGAGGGCAAGGGCACTCTGTCCGCGGCCAAGCCATGGCCCGGGACGGAGTAGTGATCGACATGTCGTCGTTGCGGCGTAATCGGGCCACGCCGGGAATCACCGTCTCCACGGGGGAATTCTACGCCGACGTGGGCGGAGAACAGCGCTGGATCGACGTGTTGAACGCCACGTTGGAATATGGGCTCACGCCGGTTTCGTGGACGGATTATTTGTACATAACCGTTGGCGGGACGCTGTCGAACGCCGGCATCAGCGGCCAAACTTTCCGGTACGGGCCGCAGGTCAGCAATGTGGTGGAGATGGATGTCGTCACCGGTACGGGATCTCTCTCATCTCTGGCTAAAACGACATGTAGTTTACTTTTTAATATGTGATCTTTTTCTTTTGTTCACATTATGGAAGGGGGAGGGAAATATGAAGATCTAAAGAAAAGACAAGTTTGGTTGTTACATAGTGGATCAAGTACAGACATTTTTCTCCATTATTAATGTTGTGAGAAAGCTGTTCAACAGTGGTCCATAAGTTTGAAACTTCATTTTAAGTATGAAAAAAAAGAAACCTTTTTTTTCAAACCCAGGTGTTTCCAGTGGACTTTTTAAATTAATTATTGGCTCCAACTGCATGCATGCAATTAATTGATCGGCTGTATTTTATTTTGTTTGCATTAAAATTTTGAAATATTCGCAGGGAAGGGGAATATGGTGACTTGCTCTGCCAAAAGGGATTCTGAGCTTTTCCATGCCGTTCTTGGAGGGTTGGGTCAATTTGGAATTATTGCTCGGGCCAGAATCGTTTTGGAACGGGCTCCAACAAGGGTAAGAGTGTATTTTAGAGTGATGGTAGAACGAGTAATTTTGAAAAAAGATATTTAAATATATTTTTAATTTGTTAAGAAAGGTATTTTTGACCATTTAAAATTACTCCAAAACACATCTTAATTAATATATATAATTACAAAAACAATTTATTATTTAAAATAATATAAAAAACATGTTAAATTACTTACCAATATTAATAAGCGGAGAAAAATGATATTTTCAGAGTTTGGCCGATATTCCCCTAGATTATTATTAAATTAAAGAAGTTTAAGTTGATAGAGTATATTAAATCTTTGACTATTATATGAAATATATATTTTGAGTTGATTTAAAGTATGGAAGTATCTGTCCATCGTAAGCTTCTAAACAACCCTACATATTATCCTTGTCTTTTGTTGGGGTGTGGTTCCTGTCATTTCCCAACAACTAAAACGATGTCGTATATTTATACAATACAGACAAATTCAGATTAAACTGCATCCTTTGACTGCTAATTCATCTTTATTTTATGGAAGCATGCATACCATGCATTTATGTATGTGAATTAAGTTGATATATTGATTTGATTTTGTGCAATTCGCTCGTAGGTTAAATGGGTACGAATGCTGTACAGTAACTTTTCCGAATTCGCCAAGGATCAAGAGAATTTGATCTCACTGCACGGAAGGAAACAAGAGAATGCACTGGATTACCTCGAGGGTTTGGTTCTGCTGCATCACGGTTCACCGGATAACTGGCGCTCCTCCTTCTTCCCGCCGTCCGACCATCCCAGAATAATCGCATTGGCTAATCAAAACTCTCTAATTTATTGCCTTGAAGTTGTCAAGTATTATGATGATAGTACTCAGTCTATCGTAGACAAGGTATTAGTAGTTAATATTTTCATGAGCCGTCTATGTTAAACGTGAGCTTTATAACATTAGTTATATATATATATATATATATATAAATATATATTAATGTATTTATAGGTTTATTATTAATTTGTATATATTTGTAATAATATTGGTTATATTTTTGAATTGGTTTTATAGGAGGTTGATGCATTATTGGAAGGGTTAGGTTATGAGAGGGGATTCAAATTTGAGAAAGATGTGAGCTACGTGGAATTTCTAAATAGGGTTCGAAGTGGAGAGCTTAAGCTTCAATCCCAAGGACTTTGGGACGTTCCTCATCCATGGCTAAATCTCTTCATACCCAAATCTCGTATCTCCGATTTCGACTCTGGTGTCTTTAAAGACATAGTTTTAAGGCATAACATAACCAAAGGACCTGTCCTCATCTATCCCATGAACCGATCCAAGTAAGATATCGTTTATCATCCATATATTAAGGTCTTTATAAAATATTAAATTTACTGTAACCTATAAACTTAATACTATTAATTGGTATACGTGCTGCGTGCAGATGGGATAGTAGGAACTCTACCGTTATACCAGATGAAGAAGTGTTCTACACGATAGGGTTTTTGCATTCAAGTGGGTTTGGAGATTGGAAATCGTTCGATGAACAGAACGAAGAGATATTAGAATTTTGTGCAAAATCTGGCATTGAAATCAAACAATATCTCCCTCATCACAACACAAAACAACAATGGATCCACCATTTTGGTTCCAAATGGACAACTTTCCAGGAAAGGAAAATGAAGTTTGATCCCAAACATATTCTCTCTCCTGGACACAAAATTTTCAATGCCTGAGATTTTTTACCCTCGCCGTGTAAGGAAAAAATCAAATAAATATAATAGGTAGTAAACAACTAGAATAGATGTTTTTTTTTTTTTTACTTTTTTAATTAAATTTAGTTCCTATATTTTGAGTACTGTATCTATTGAATCCCTAAATTTAGAAAAGTTTCTATTACATATATAATTAGAAAGTGGATTAATATCTACTTAATGGATTCCAAAACACCAATAAATATAAAAAGTTGATTTAGGAAGCAACGTTAGATTTGTTGGAGCAAAATGCAAAGAAATTAAAGAAACACGAGTAAGTTTAAACACATGAGAAGAAACAGATTCAATCTAGGAACAAAATTTATAACTTAACAAATTATGAAATTAGTTATTTAGATTACTGTTTTTTTTAATCACGAAATCAATGTCGTGTAGCTTATGTTGGTGAAACCTAATAATTTGGACATATTATTTGAGCTGAACAACACTAGGTCCGATGTAGAGTTTAAATACAAAGTTTCATATGGTTGATACTGCAAGGCCTTGTGTCATTGTCCACCATACAATTTCCTAACTTTATTTGATTACTTTGTTTTTGGATTAAAAAAATGCCAATATATTCGATGGATTAAAAAAATGCAAATATAGAACTCTATTATTGTCTAGTTCATATTTCATACATATTACTTTTTGTGACAAGTAGCGTGCAACTGTAAAACGCTAGCAAAATTCAATGCCTTATCCATTAAGTAATTGTTCTTCGTTGATTTGTGGATAAAACATTGATGTCTCAATTTTGTGAAAATATTAATTAAACATAAAATTTAAGAGTTATGTGAAAATTCCAACTAAATTATTGGGATGGTCAAATTTTTTCTAGTGAATTTGTCTGGTTATCATCATTATTTTTTCTTCTAAACATAGAAAATAAAGTGGCGTTGAATTTAATTAACTTCAAAAGGTTGGTAGTTTCTTGTCAAATCGTTGTCATCGATGAAAAATTTGTAAAGATTTGGAACGGAAACAACGTTTTGAATATGAAACTTGAGAGTGAGTATATAAAAGGGGTTTGAACAAAAATGAAAAAGGGTTATCTATTTATTTCTATTATTATTATTATTATTATTATTTAATTTTATTATTTTACAGTCAAAATAATAGGTAAACGTTAATTATTTAACTAACTCTAATTTTGATATAAATGGTTTAAAATTTTAGATTATTAGAAAAGATATGTTAGAAAAAAAAAAAGAAAAAATGATCAAAAGAAATTTACAAATTAAAAGAAGAAAGGGCAATTAATTCATTTTTGCCGACATAGCGAAGACTTGATAGCACTGGGCGTAGCTGGGTAAGACAAAAAGTGTGTTGTTGGGCGTTGAGAGAGGGATTGTTTGGAAATTGGAATAAAGATTTTTATTTTATTTTTATTACAATTGGAATAAAGAATTAATTAAATGGTAGAATTCTTCTTGATCTTTGTTAGTTAGATGCCAATGTTTTAAATTAACTGAACTTTATGAATTAATATTAGTTAAAATGTGGTTGAAAAGTGACAAACTAAATTTTAAAATATTGTGTAGAGCATAGCAAAGGCAAAAAATCAGAGGCCCAATTGAACTTATTTCCCGTGAACATTTTTTATGTCATCTAGATATCCAACATTATATTTGGAAAAGACAAGATTGTCCCTTTGATGGCACCGCCCTACCAAAGGCCCAAGCCCATATGAAAAGTGGGCTAAATAATTATTTTGGGCCTGGCGATGTGGCCCAGTCCGTTTCGAGAATAGAAGGAAGAAGGAAGGGAGAGAGAGTGAGAAAGGAGACCCAGTTGGCAAGCCTCGCGAATGACGACTTTGACCACTGCTACTACTTTTCTCACTCTTTACTTTTTTTTTCTTCCCCTTTTAAATTTTCATTTTTATTTTTCTGGCTGCTCTTTATTATTATTATTCATTCTCATTATTTCACTTTATTTTCTCAACATTCTTAATTATTTGTGTATGGAATTGGATGTTGTGTTCTCCCTTGACGAGGGTTCTCGAGCCACCTTCCTCCGAAGGTTGATGCACTCTTTTCACTGCATCTACATTTGCGTCTGGTCTCATTTCCCCCTTTCCAAGTAAGTTTCTTTTTCATAAACTCACTCAGCTAATTTTTCTTTTTTAATTATTGATTTTGGTTCATCTGATTTTATTTTTTTGTTTTGGTGGGAAGTTGTTTGTTGAATCTGGACAGATTGTACAGGGAAGATGATGATGATGATGATAAACAACAAGCCAGTTCTTCTTTGGGCAGTTTTGATCGGAGGCTGTTCAACGACTATACCCAATTGGTATTCAATGTCCAAAACAAGTCAGTTTAATTTTTATCTCTCTTTTTTCTTTTAATTTCTGGAATGGAAGAGGAAATTCATGTTTGGTTAACGATATTGGAGAATTAAAATTGGTTATTTGATTGGAAATTGGAAAGCCTGGTCCCCGGGCATGCTTTCAACAACAATATTTCCTTCTTAGAGCTTCGGGAATCGCTTCTTCAAACCCACGCTTCCTATCAAATTCAGAGACAATTCTATGCTGTAAGTTCTATGTATTCTACGCTACAAATATTATTAATTATTTACTTCTATATTCGTTTATCACAATCTCCCACTTTACCTTTCTTATTTTTCATTTTCTTCGCAGGCAGCAGGAATCAAGGTAAGTTCGTTGTATAAATTTCAGAGGAAATCAAAATCATTTTTTACCATAAATTTTCAATTTTGTCGAATTATACTTTAATACACCCTAGAGCTGAGTTTTTTTGGTTAGTTGATATTGGAGATTAATTTATACCATTCTCAATTTTATGCCACGTTTGGTATATTCTCGAACTTAAGAATGGAGAGAAATTTTTAGGTTAGAGTTATTTTTATTAAAATTAGAGGGAAAATATTGTTAAAGGATGGCAAATAAAATCCTGCATTGATTAACAAAGAAAGTGATTTATAGTATAAAAATGAGACTTCTTTTTTCCAGTGAAATGAAAAATAAATCTTTTGTGCCCAAAAGGGACAATATACTAATGCACAAGATTACCTAATTTCAAGAATACAAAATAAAAATGGAAACAGTTGTGGTTTTTTAGTTCCATGATTGAGGTTGAGGGTTACAGAAATTAAATGTGGTTAATAATGAAGTGTTGACGATTATTAATTATGAACCACAGAGCTCAGTTTTCATGGGGAGCAGCAATGGAGAAATCGAACTTGGCTTCTGGCAGTCGGAGGTAAGAAAGTTAGAAAACAAAGATAGAGATGATTATTATTTACTAATTAATTAGGAAATGAAAATATAAGGAGAGGGTTGAATTGAATGAAAATTTCTTTTCAGGTGAATATGGTAGAGAAGATGAAAGTAATAAGTGAATTAATTCCGAGAAGTTGGGCAGAAGTAGCTTCGTCATCAATGGCGGCTCTTGAAAACCCTCCGGTGGCGGTAGCGCTGACGTCATCCAGTTCTTCTTCTCTGAAATCACCAATATCAACATCCATGGGAAGCCCAGAAACGTCGTGTTCCCTCTTTCAAACTGATCTTTCTAAGATACTATTGCAGCCGGAAAGTGCGTTTAAGAAATATGCCAAGTTGGCGGCGCCGGCGCCGGAGGATCGGGGGCGAAGGCAAATTAGCATGGTGAAGAAATGGATTATGTTCTATAGAAACTTGAATTCAATGGGAATTACACGACAATTAGCAACTGCATCTGGGCGGCCGGCGTCGGCTCAATTGCTTCACATGATATCAGAGCGCAGAAGGAGACAGAAACTCAACGACAGTTTTCAGGCCTTGCGATCCCTTCTCCCTCCTCCAACTAAGGTCCTCTCTCTCTGTTTTTTTTTTCCTTTTAACCCTAATTTTATATTTTCAATCAAAAAAAAGAAAAAAAAAATTATATTTCTTTTCAATTTCACCATTTTGATTTTCCTTTACATTCATCTTTAAACATTTTCAAAGTTTCTTATAAACCATTCCTTCAAAACCTACGGTACTTTAGCCTAACGTGTAGTATGAATTAAATTTATTCAACCAACCAGTTTGAATTTTTTGATTGAACGATGGTTTGTTCATCATGGTATGCGGGGTTTATATTTCAAACCCGTGCATTATTATTTCAACTCCATTTATAATTATTTTCATTTGTCGAATCTTATGCAATTATCGAAACTCACAATTGGGAGGGAGTATTAAAATATCCATATATGAATTACATTTACCTAACACATCAATTTAAGTTTTTGAGTTTAGTGACGAGATTTATTCATCGTTAAAACCATCGAAACATAATTCAATTAGTTGACACACTTATTTCCGACCAAATGGATGTGATTTTAAATCTTCATTCCCATGTTGTATTACAAAAACTAATTATATTTTACAATAGTATTTTCTATGTATTTATAATATTCATTCAGTTAACATATATTCTTGCACGTTGCATGCATATGGTTTAAGTTTTACATACAGAAAGTGATAAAAAGAAAATTAATAAATTTTGTTTAATGAACGTGGATACGTAGAAAGATAAAGCATCGGTACTGGCAACAACCAGAGAATACTTGACCAAATTGAAAGCACAAGTTTCAGAACTCAGCCACAAGAACCGGATGCTTCTAGAAGCTCAGCCGAACAACAAACAACAGGCAATTACCACCAGCTCCTCCGTTAACGAGCGGTTCACAGTCAGGGTTTCCCACGCGCCGGCGGCCGATGAAGCAGAAAAATTCTTTGATTTGGAAATTACCGTTAGATCAGGCGAAGGTTTGCTAATGGCCAACGTCGCCATTCGCGTGCTTCAATTCTTGAGGAATGCGGTGGATGTGGGGGCAGTTTTGTCATTTCGTGGTGACGACACCATGGCTCCATCTTCTTCCCTCAGCCGCCTCGCCTTCAGATTTACCCTACAGGTAATTTGCTGCCTTTTGATAACTTCTTTCCTAGGGTTTTTTTTTCCATCGATTTTTTTTATTTTTTAAAAATAACTTATTTAAAACACTTTCAAATTATTCTCTTTTTCTATGAATTAAAATGTTAGAATACTTTTTTTTATTACTACTATTTTTACATATGTGTTACTACGAATAATATATATAAGAGGCACATTTTTTATTATTCACATGATAAAGTGTTCTTTGAACTAGTAATTTATGTATTGTTCATATTTTTTAGTACGTACTGTAAAGTGTTGTATTTTTATTTGATACAATTCAATAATTATATTGAGTGTTCTACCCCCTTTTTTTTTCTTTTCGTTGAAAATTAAGAAAAATTTGCTAACATTTTGAATTTCGTTATTTATTATAATTTTTTATAATACATAATGAATCTTTTTTTTCCAAAAAATAAGCCCTAGTTGGAACAATGTAAAGTATTAATACTATTTTACTTTTCCAAAGTAACATTAAACACAAAGAAATTAGTAAGAAATGTTTTTAAAACGCAGTAATAATAAATAAAATGAACCAGCAAGGAAGGTGACATTGAGGTAACAGGCAAAAAGGGACTCTTATTTTCCAAGTAATTAGTACTTTTTCCTCCTTTTAAAAAAGAGAAAAGAAAAGAAAAGGAAAAAAAAAAAAAAAGTAATGAATTATTTTTGTCTGTGTATAGGGTGGCGAATGGGACGAGTCGGCCTTCGTGGAAGCAGTGAGAAGAATTGTCTCTGACGTAGCACCCCATAAGGGAAAATTAAATCATAACGCCAATATTCCTTTCACACGTGTAATCGATGATGTTCCCTCTTTTCCAGCCCTTGACCGTCGATATTTTGTAAACCACGTGATTATGAATACCAATATAGAGTTTAAAAAAAAAAGTTAATATAATTTATCTTTTTCATTTGAAAAACATTCATTATCATTTATACAAACCTTCTAAGTTATATTCTCTATTTTTAATTTTCTTCCCCTTTTCGCATGTTTGTATGAAGAAAAAATTTAAATTGTTTTTTCAATATTTAGTGTTGATAGGCAAGAAAAGCAAACAAAATCCACATCGGCTCATGAAAGAGAAGATCATGGACATGTTATGCCATGGACAACATCAAACATTCTGTTTCAAACAAAAGTAAAATTATGATTAATGTAAATAATATAATACTATAGAAATTTTGTTTTAATTTTTTCATATTAGAAAATTGCATTCATATGATGACCAGGAATAATGATCCAAATGTCAAAATGATTAGTATTTTGTTTTCAAAATGCACCCAACCAACCCAAGTATGTTTATTCTATGTGGAATCTTACTCTCTTTTGCATTTACATTTTCACACCATTTTTTTTAATAATAAAAATGACTATTTAATAGTTTTGACTTGAATCTCCAACACCCAATTAAAAACATTGTGACTATCTCTTAGTATTGAGTCAAAATATCGTATTAAGGTATAAGTAATTTCATATCCTTAATAATATAAAGAAACAAATCAATAAATATATATATATATATATACACACACACATACATATATACATATATTTAATGTAGATAAAAGATGTTGGTTTATGCTTTAGATTTATGTTATTGTTATTTGTTAATGATGTATTTTGTACAAATTCATTAGTAAATTTAAACACGTTTACAAATAAAGCTTTTGATAATATAACATAATTAAGGTATAATGTTATTGTAAAGGACATATTAACACTTGATTGTCATGATTAACCACTCGTCGGTTGTGAGCTTGATGTGAAAATTCAAAATTCAAAATTCATCCAAACTATATGAGAGAATAAGTCCCAAAACAATGTTTCCTCCGATCCAAATCATTTCCCAATGTTAGTTTAATTCAAATACAATTCATCTTCATATAATGGTGGGTCCCACCCTACCCCCTTTCAAATGTCTAGTAATATAAAAGAGTGAAGAAACAGCCAGGAAGGGGGTTTTTGGGATTACCCTCCAAGAATTTCCACAAGCTTTTTGTATTTGAATTTGTGAGTGAATTAAAAAAAAAAAAAAAAAAACTATTTAGAACTCTGTTGAGAAAGTGGGTCAGATACCAAATGTGCCAACTCTGAGAAAAAGAATGAAGATCCAGAGAGATCCTTCTAAGTTGACGGCCTTGCACTTAGAAAAGTAGACATCTTTTATTTTGACATTCTAGATACCATATTTTTATTAATCTGTGAAGTTAAACAAGAAAATAAATATGGAAAGATTTATGAAAATATCCTGTCATAAACTTTGTTCATATCAAATTTCACAACTACGAGTCCATCAAAAGCTGATTGTAAAACTTTTATCATATCTCGGCAAAAGCTTCACTACTTCCAGAAATGAGTGATTAAATTACAGCCCAATAGACGTTGGAATACAAATAAATTACAGAATGACTTTCCACAACCCGTAAATTTCTTCAAGTTTGATCTGTATATCTTGTAAAAATGTCCAACCATTAAACCAGAGGATGTGATTAGGGAGATGGTAAATAGCAAAAGCTGATCAATAATACTGCTACTCAAGACTAACAAATCGGTCATGCTGTAAATACAAAATCTTGTAGTACTTGCTGTAGTTAGCAACCCATCACGCACCGGAGTTTCAAACGAGCATCCTTACTCTGGTATTCTGACTCTCTAAAACACCTCCATTTTCTACATTTCATCGTCGGCGAAAATGTCTAATATTTACAAGGGTAACGCCTCCCATCAGTAAACCACAAAGACCCAAAACTTCGCACCCGGTGAAATTCAGACACAGCTTGAATGGACATGGCATTCACATATTTATACTTCTACGGCAGTAACTGCATCTTCGTCCGTAGAATCGGGTGAAATGATATCTTCTCGAGCACTTTCTTCTGTTTCGTCTCCGTTCCCTCGCTTATCCATGTCCATGTCCAGTAGTTTATCCCGAAGTTTTGTAATTAATTCTTCCCTAGCATCTCCATTCTGAGCCAGAAATGTTTTCAAGGCGTCTTTGCCATGGAAACTTCGTCCATTAAAGCTATAGAATGCACCAGCCTTGGACATGAATTTGTATTTCAACCCCAAGTTTATAATTTCTGATTCCTTACATATACCCTTTCCAAACTCGAGCTCGAATTGAGCAGTCCGAAAGGGAGGAGCGAGCTTATTCTTCACGACTTTAACTTGAACTTGACTTCCCAATGTCTGCAATGGAAAGATACATCAGTACATACATTAACAGAAATATTCAATAAATAATGTATAAAAAATAAATAAAAAAAGCCTTTACATAGTTGTCGTCAAAATTTACAAGCAAATGAATGTATGTACCTCTTCCCCCTTCTTGACAAGACCTATCCTTTTAATGTTTAGCCGCATCGAGGCGTAGAACTTTAAGGCGTTGCCACCGCAGGTAACTTCAGTTGGCCCGCCAAATCCCCCAAAAGTGGATAGCTTTGACCTAACCTGAAGAGACATACAGTTTCCAAGTGCAGTGCCACTAGATGATTGCATGAGAAATTGCAGAATACTTCTAGACAATCGAACGCAAAATAATACCTGATTAATAAAGATCAATATAGTCTGGGACAGTGATAAAGAATGGCTCAATTTGCGGAGTGCTTGGCTCATGAGTCTAGCCTGCATTGCCATGTGAGCATCACCCATCTCGCCATCAAGTTCACCTTTCGGCACGAGAGCAGCTACCTGTTATTAGAGGCAATAAACGTTTCACGACATAATGATAAAAGAACATTAAACATATAAAACAACAAACTTCCAACTGTTTTCTTTAGAAGAGTTTGTATCATTCTCACACTGTCAACAACAACAACATCAACTGAACCACTTCGGATTAGGGTATCCACGAGACTAAGTGCTTGTTCGCCACAGTCAGGTTGAGATAGAAGCAGATTCTCAGTGTTCACTCCTATAGCCTGAGCGAGGGCTGGGTCAAGAGCATGCTCTGCATCAACAAAGACACAGTAACCTGCAATAAAAAGACCAAAACAAATTACTCCAACACTATGGTTATGTGTGATACAGTGAAGTTTTTTACCTAGAAATTTCGCCTACAAACATATATTATATTGTTGAATTAGAAGCATATATTAATTTCCACTCATTCACTACCCCACGGGATGATATAAAATATAACAGTTTTAACAAATGCCTTTTTACATATTGTTCGTTACATTTGGCTTGAGAGAATTGGAGGATTGTTAGAGGGTGGAGACGTCTTGGAAAGAGGCTTAGTCTTCGGCTAAGTTTAATACCTTCCTCTGGGGGTCTGTAATCAAAGAATTTTGTAAATACCTTTTTTCTCTAATTTTAACAGCTGAAGCCCTGTTTTTGTAGGGGCTTTTTCCTTTTTGTCAAGGCTCCCTTTATTTCAAGCTGGTCTTTTATTCTCTTTCTTTTTCTTCTTTCCATTGTGTCACCATATATTCTTTCATTTTTTCAATGAAAGTTTGGTTTTTTCATAATATATATATAGCAGTTTTAACATGACCGATATGCAATTGGTCTATGTATAACCAAATTATTTAAACAAACCACAAATACAATCTGAATCAAGTAGCAAAACAGTAAAATATACCGATATGGAGAACAATAAATGAACACATTCACTTATCATGTAAGCAGTACCTCCTTGCTTCTGAGATTCAGCAATTACATGCAAAGCCAGAGTTGTCTTTCCAGATGCCTCTGGACCATAAATCTCGATTACACGACCCTATAAAGATCTACCGAAGTTATATCATAAACATGAAACACAACCATGATGTATAACAAAAGATATGGTGATTCAAAAAATATGTTACCAAGAAAATGTTTCAACCTCACGAGGGTAAACTGGAGGAAGTGGAAAATACCTTAGGAAGGCCACCAACTCCCAGTGCTATATCCAAAGCAAAAGAACCAGTGGAAACCACAGGGACATGTCTAGATGCTACAGAGCGGCCAAGCCACATGATAGAACCCTTCCCAAATGTGGAAGTTATCTGATCCAAGGCTTGTTGTAAGGCCAACTCTTTCTTAGACAAATTTTCTTCACAAGAATCACTCCCATCTGATGACTTGGACTTTCTTCTACCTTCAAATTTTTATATGATATTGGTACTGAGATATATTCTTATGAAACAAATACAAATACATTGGACATGCATCAAAATGCAAAATGAAAAACAGTGTTTTCATACTTAATAGTCTATAAAATGTAATCAAAGCTATTGTTTTTAACCTTTGGTAGAAAAACTACAAATTTGAGTAGACGTTCCCAATATGCCTCTCCTGAAGCCCTGCTGCACAGAAAACAAGCAGCAACCCAATCATCGAGTAAAAATCAGAACGACATAAAAGCTAAATTAGCTCATTACTTATTCCATGAATAAGGGTTCACTCAAGATTATAAATGGAGTTAAGATAATGAAGCGGCCACTACAGAAGCATACACCACACCAAGAGTTGTAGAAGGAAACTGAGAAGTTTAAGCAGTGTAAACGAATGAAACCTCGTGGTGGAAAAGGGAGCGTCTGAAAAAAGACGCACTTCGAATAAGCCTCGCCATTAAACCTCTTTAAAACCTCCTCCCAGCAGCAAAGAAAGAGCAACTCCACAATAAAAAATGGAGGAGAGCTAAGTTGAATAAATAACAACTGAACAACAAGAGAAGTTGCTACACCCCATATGCACGAGCGAGTATAAATTTGAAACAGAAACACGAAGAAGGCGAAGAAGAAGAAGAGAGTGGCCCAATTTAATTATAACCACTGGGCTCTGCCATTTTTAGGGTTCTGATTCTTTCTGTTGCTGTGTCTCTCTCTCTCCTAGTATGAGTTTTCCCTCCCTTTCGATTACACCTCTGCCTTTGCCCTGAGAGTCGCGGAAGAAGAACAATTGGGCTGTAAGATTTGGGCCTACCGAGCCAAGAGAATACTTGGCCTGCTTTGGGCTTGAGCTGATATTTCCTTTATTTAAAAAAAAATCAAATAAGAAGTCTTTTTCCTGATAAATTTTTTTAAAAAAATTTAAATGTCCTTTTACGTACTATATATATATATATTAAACCATTTATATTTAATTGTACAAATATAATTGTTTAAAGTATATATTTAAAAATTTAAAAAGAAAAAACGTATGCATAACTCGATTTATCTAACATCGTATGAAACCGGAAAGTATTTGAATCCAATTAAATGGAAAATCTTGAACTCCATACCTTTTCTGGCTCATCTTTCCTTTCTAAAATGCATCTTTCCTTTAAATTATATAAATTATAATCTGAACGCGGCTTTTTGTGGAAATTACATGGGCCGGAGGGAGCCCGGCCCAAAGCCTGAAAGCCCATCTCTGGCCATTTATTTGTTTTTATTATTATTATTATTTTTTTTTTTGTAGAATCGGCGCCGCTGGCAGTTCCTTATAAATTGAAATCAATGGAATGAGCACTAGGTCTCGAACAAGTGTGCGACGGTATTTATAAGGTCGGCCACGTTGAGGCGGCCCTTTTCACTCCTTTTTCCTCGCTTGTATTCAATCTAGGGTTTTAGATTTCCAACTTCGCTTCCTCTCCTTCGCTTGTCCCTCGGCATCTGCTTGCTCAGTATTCTCAATGAGCAACAACAAGGATAACTTCAACGTCTCCGATCTCGGTTCTGGTATTCAAATTCCTCCTCTTCGCTTTATCGATTGTTGTTGCTTTCTGTTTCGTGTTCACTACTCGTTCTTTGCGACGAACTAATTTCGAGGGTTTTGGTTTTTAATTTTGAAGCTCTCAATGAGGAGGATCGAGCAGGCCTCGTCAACGCTCTCAAGGTACTTCAATTTGTTTCTCTTATTCGTTTCTGGTCAAACTCTTGTTGCCTGCTACTAGAATAAGGAATATACTCTTCCGCCACTTTATTTATTTTTATTATTATTTTTTTATAGTAGTTTTGGCTTGAAGTAGCGTGTTAAGCTTCCTCGAAGGTTTTGATTCATATGAGTATTTTTTCCCAAAGTTTGTCATCACATTTTAATGGCGCTGTTTTGAAACAATATTCGCTTTGAAACTCCCTGGTTCGATTTTAGCGGTGGTTGATTTTTCTTTGGGTTTTATTCTTCGCAGAATAAGATACAGAGCCTTGCTGGGCAGCACTCTGATGTCCTCGAGAACTTATCTCCCGTTGTTCGCAAGCGCGTTGATGTGCTTAGAGAGATCCAGGCAAGTATTATTCATCCGGTTCTTTGATAGCCATTATAAAAAGAACGACTTGTTTGGTTGCTGCTCCTTATTCATTAATCAACGGAGAATGCACGAATAATGTTAGTTTGTATTAATTTGAAACTCATTCTGCTCAACAGAGCCAACATGACGAATTAGAGGCAAAATTTTTCGAGGAAAGGTTGGCGCTCGAGGCCAAATACCAGAAATTGTATCAGCCACTATACTCTAAGGTATATATATTTCCATATTTCCTACTGGTTGTGATGATATTACACATTTTTGGCGTGTTTGAGTTGTCCATAATACCTGTAAATGTCTCTGCAGCGATTCGATATTGTCAATGGTGTTGTTGAAGCTGAAGGAGTTGCAAAAGAATCTGCCACTGCACAAGAAGAGGACAAAGCTGCGGCAGGTAAACCTATACCATTATTTGATGAATTTGATCTTCACGTGAATTAAATTGCCTATATTTAGTATTTTTTTTTTTTGCCTTTGCAGAGAAAGGGGTGCCTGATTTTTGGCTTACTGCAATGAAAAATAATGAAGTACTAGCTGAGGAGGTTTGTTTTTTATGTTTCGTACTGTTCCTTTGCTTGAAGAATTTTCTGACTCACACGTTACCCCAATAGCTATCTTCTATCTAAATCCCCAGCTCATTTTTATTTAGATTACGGAGCGTGATGAAGGAGCTCTTAAATATTTGAAAGATATCAAGTGGTGCAGAATAGACAATCCCAAGGGATTCAAGCTTGAATTCTTTTTCGACACTAATGCCTTCTTTAAAAATTCTGTCTTAACGAAGACATACCACATGATCGACGAGGATGAACCAATTCTTGAGAAAGCAATCGGGTAATCTTTTTTACCTCGTCTGTATTTGAGATTCTGATTTTAAGACTGATTATTTTTGCTATGTAGTGAACGATGTCATATGATGAACCCCTCCTTTATCACACTTATTTTGACAGCAATAATGTCTTGTTGCCAGGACGGAGATTGAATGGTATCCAGGAAAGTGCTTGACTCAGAAACTACTTAAGAAGAAGCCTAAGAAGGGATCAAAAAATGCCAAGCCCATCACTAAGACTGAAAATTGTGAAAGTTTCTTCAACTTTTTCAGTCCTCCTCAAGTGCCTGATGATGATGAGGATATTGATGAGGATACTGTACGTTTATTACTTCGAGTGAATATCTTAACATGCCCATATATATCTCCTTTCTTATTTTTGTTCTCTCTTTTGTCAGGCTGAGGAGCTTCAAAATCAAATGGAGCAAGATTACGATATTGGGTGAGTTCTTGACATACTTTCAATGTTGCATGGGGTTTAGTATCGTTTGGCTAATTTGTTGACCAGGCTACTTTTGTGTAATAAAGCTCTTTAAACTGCTTCAACGTTGGATGTATTTTGATATTTCATTTATTCCATCCTTAGGTCAACCATTCGAGACAAGATTATCCCGCATGCAGTCTCGTGGTTTACAGGGGAGGCTATTCAAGATGAGGAATTTGAGGACATGGATAACGAGGATGAAGATGACGAAGACAATGATGAAGAGGATGATGAAGAAGAGGATGAGGACGATGATGATGAAGACGAGGATGAAGACGAGGATGAAGATGAAGGAAAGTCCAGGAAAAAGGTTTGTAACATGTTATTAGTTTGAATCGACCTGTTCTTTTTGTACAATATATTCCCCTTTCTCTTGTTAGTTCTAGAAGTTGGAACTGACATTCTCATAACTGTGGTTTGTTCCAAATCAATTTGTGCTTTGGTGACAGCAGTTGTCAGCTGGGAACAAGGTACTTTCCATTGTTGAATTCTGAACAAAGTTGTGTATAAATGTGGCTGTATAGTATGTTACATATTGAGGTTCTGTTTTGGTTATGTCCAGAAGGGTGAAAGAGCAGCAGCTGGGGATGGTCAGCAGGGGGAGAGGCCACCGGAATGCAAGCAGCAGTAGGAATTTGAGATTGGGTTTAGTTTCTGAGTCGGTGAGACGCCTCTTTTGGAAGTCCGCTGTACAAGTATTTTTGGTTGGGATCAGAGTGAGGGGCCGCCGGGGTTGGGGTTGGGTGTTGCAGTTTCGCTAGTCTTATTCTATTTTACTATTACTTCAATTTTTCTTCCATGTATTGTGGTACTAAAGGGGGGATTTAGGAGAATCCATTCCCTTTTTTTTCAAATCTGTCGCTGGCTTGTGAAGAGAATGGTTTTTGCTCTGCTGCTTCGTCTCTTGGGGAAGTTGGGATTAGTTTTTTTTATGTGAAGTTATTTATTGAAAATGTTGGGATTACTATAAAAATGTTGCTTTCATTTATATATATTCAAATCTTTTAGGTCAGTTTTTGCCTTTTTTTTCCTGGAAACATCTTTTTTTTATTATGGGAATTTTTTTTGTTTAATACTGTTGTATCATTTTTTATTAACGCATTTCTCGTGAAGTATGGGTAAAATTATAATATGTTTTACTTAATGGTATCTCTCTGAATTCTATCTTGAAGTTTCAAAATGATCCTACGTTACGATTTAAAAAATATCTTACTATATTATGTACGCAAGATAGATAAATAAATGATTTCAAGGTAGTTGCATTTACGAAATCTTTGTTCATTAATTTTTTTTTTGTTACGTACACGTACTGTTAATTAATATTTGATAAAAGATTATTAATTATGAGAGAATTTATTAGAAGATGAGTCGAAACAAACAGATTTGACTCAAAGGCAAAGGCAAGGCAGGGAGCGTAATAAAACTTGTTGGTGTTTTTGTTTGAGTTTCATATTTGTTCGTTGGTTAATGGTTTGGTTGCGTAGCTTTTCTTCTTCTTTAGCCGTTCTCCACTCTAATTTTCTAATTTTCTCTTGCAGCATTATCTGTATATGGTTCCATTGTGGCGCTGTTTTTTTACTTCATCTCCACATTTGAAGACTTGTCCTAATGTTTGGGATTTCAAAATCAGATGTACTTAAAAGCAGTAAGATTAATTAAAATAATTGAGATAGATCTTCCACCGATAAGATAATTAATATATAAAGTAAAACTAATTTTAACCCAAATCATTAGTTGCATTTTCAAGAAATTAACTCTTTCCATATTTATTAGGGCTTGAAGCAGATGAAGTCTTCCTTCTTTCTTCTGCTTTTCTTGGCCTAATTAAGAAAAGAGGGGAGGAGAGAAAGGCAAAAACAAGTAATACTCTAAGCTAGATTGCTTCATTCGAGTCTAGGACTTAGACAAGATTTCTCAATTGTTTTCATTTCCTTTTCAATGAATCTCCAATTCAGTTTCATCGTCCGATCTGAAGCCTAATCCAAGCGGGATTACATTAATGTTTGACTAGTCCAATATGACTTAACTCTTCCTGTAATTATATTGAATACAAATTTTTATTTTTAAAATTGTATAGACTCATTTGAGCTGTATTTGAATGTCTTATCCAATATGTTCTAATATAATAATATATATATATTAATATTGATTTATTAATATATATTAAATATTGTTTAGTATTATTTTCTATTACCCTTCTTATTTCTCTAATTTTTATTTTTTCTGAAAATAATATGACTTCAAATTGTAAAATTATGATGTAATAAAATTTTTATATAATTACTTGAAAAAATAAACAAAAGTGGTATAAGAAAGTCAAATAAAAACAGAATTTATAAAACTCAAAAAATTAAATCAAAACAATTCATTACAAGGGTTAATTTAAGCCAAATCCAAATGATCAGTTGGATTCAACTTTGGTCCATGAATTAGGTCATGAGCTCAAATTTAAATAGTTGGGTAGACCCAATCCAACACAGTGCTTGGGCCTGAACCAAACTTGGGCTTTATTTATTTGGGGTGCCGGCCCAATAAGGGTGACCTCCGATTTCCTTTGTCCGGGTGTGGATGGCGGTGAATTTTGAATTCTTCACCGTCGATTCGCCTTCCAGTTCCCTGCGTTTGCTCATTCGATGTTGAAGTTTTGGTAATCGTTTTGGACATCTAGTCTTCTCTAGGGTTCTATTTCTTGTTTTTGGTTGGCGGATGGAACCTCGCGTTGGGAATCAGTTTCGGCTTGGCCGGATGATCGGTAGCGTCTCGTTCTGGGAGATCTATCTCGATTCATCTTTCTCCTTCAGTTTTTCGGCATTCGAGGTTCTGATTATGGAGCCGTGTTAGAAGTAGGTTTAAGGGTTGTATTACATCTGCAGGTACTAATATTCAGACGAATGAAGAGGTTGCAATTAAACTCGCAAGTGTTCTGATCTTAATTCAACACTACGATTCTAACTCCGCCTAGTCTGTCGATCGGAAGTAGAAGGTAGGAGCATTCATGGAGGACGCGCATTTTGAAGCCCCGATATTGGTCGAGTCAGAATTCTTTTTCCCTCCTCATCGTCGGTCGCATTTAAGGAGCGAGACTTATCGTACGCTAGTTCGAATCCTTTCGCCCTTCTGCGACAACACCAATGTTTCTCTGGCAACTGAATTTGATCCCCGGGAACTGAGAGCTGGTATTCTTCGAATGTCTATCAGCATTTTATTCTCTAAATTTTCAAATACACGTAATTGAGGTATAAACTCATAGGAAACAACATGACATCGAAGAAATTCCACAAGCAAATGTTTATTTAAGAATATCAGTTCGTGGATACTTGTAAATCTAGTGTTCAAACATGTTTTGTTTCCCCTTCTGTTTAACGTTTTTCGTGAAATAACTATCGGGTCCTTATTGTTAGGGCTTGGAATGTTTGGAGATATCCTCCTCCCCCCGATGGAATATATCTTAAAGTTGTCACGACTCATTCAAAACTTTTATTTGATTGTCATTCGGCTGTATAGAGCTGGAAATGTTGATTGCATTTTCAATGCAGTCCTTATTCTTAATCTTATTTTTAGCTTTTATTTAGTGACCGTTTCTTACTTTTCTCTGTTGATGAACAGCTTATAGCAGCCACTTGAGGCATACAACTGTAGAACCATTAGGCCAGCAGGTAGGTGAAGCTTTTGTAAGGGCAGAAACTGGAGAGTCGGGTACTGAAAAGGTGACAGTGGTTGAAGATGGTTTGGGGATGAATAGTCTTGAAGATGGATGGTTTCATCACTCTGAAGTGACAACGGATGTTGTAAACGATACAACGGCGGTAGAAATAAGTGGGAATGTGGGTGATGAAAGGAAATTTTCTGGGGCTATTTCTCCAGGGAATCATTGTGTTCATGAAGAAAATCATAGAGAAGAGTTAGAGGCAGAGCATATCGTGGAAGGAAATAAGGTGCCTGTTGATGAAAATAATAGTAACAACATGAGGGCTTCAGATCAGAAAACTGGTGGAAATGATCAAATATTCCAGGAAGAAATTGCTGACCATCAACTAGTAATGGCTGAAGAAGATGTGACTATAATCCAGAAACTTTCTGGGACTATTATATTGCTCGATGGCAACAGTATTGGGGATAAACCAAAAGAGGACAATCAAGAAAACAGGCTTTTAATGGTTGGTAATGGCATGCATGAATGGCCTGAAAGTCAGCTGAAAGAATCGGAATCTGAGGGCATAGTTCCTATGCCTGATTTAGATAGATCTCATGTTTCTAGTTTTGATGCGATAGAGGTGGAAGATGGTGAAAAGTGTAGTGAAAAGGTTTCCGAGACAGATCCCTCATATCTGGAGAAGGAGATACCTTGCGAGGCTTATGGACAGAGGAAGGCCAGTGATGATAAGACTATTTCCATGGTGGTTGATGCCTCCAAAGTAAAGCACAAAATGCTATTGGAAGATATGCAAATGGACAAATGCACGAATGAGAATGAAGACATTGAGGAGGGTGAAATCTGTGGTGATTTTTCAACATATGAAATTTTGGAAGATCCACAAGTATTGGCTGAGAAGGTTGTTGATATTCAAATCTCCGAGGATATAATAAATGGAAATAGGCTTCCTTCAATTGAATCTAATGGAATAGCAAATAAGCCTGCTTCCTTCTCTGACACAACCGAGTATGCAAGTCATGAGAATAAAGAGGAATCCAAACTAAATAATAGTAGCATGGAGGCCGCTTATAAGCGGGGAAGTTTTGTTTCCAAAAAAATGGTGACAAGTACAAATGAAGATAAGAATGATTTTATGTTGGAGGAAAGAAGATATAAAGTAAAGGACAGTGGAACCAAGAAGGCCATGGATTCTTTTATAGAACGTGTTCGTAATCAAGTCCTTCGCAACCAAGTTCCAAGTGAACCTGCCTCTGGAGAGAAAAAAATTGTATCCACAGAAAAGGTATTGTCATACAAGTATTTTGAGTCTACCCTGTTCATTAATTTCTCAATTTGTAGCTTTCTGATAGTATCATGTTTTCAGTGTACCAACAAATTAGTTACTGATGCCATTATATATCATCACCGTGACATTTAGTATCAACAATTTAAGAGGAGCGATTCTACATCTAAATTTACATCTTGCCTTCTTGCAGTTTCTCAAACCACAAGTTTCTTTGTGATGGAAAATTTTTTAGTGTTGATCTGTAATTGCTGACCAATTCGCTATACCTTTCTCTTTTCCAATAAAATTTTTTACTCCTTTCGTCCCCTTTTTTTCGTCTCTATGATGTTATTCTCACTTCCAATTTGTTTCATCGTGTAATCTTAATACTTGTCAGCAGGCACAAAATTTCCATTCCAAGACATTGCCAATATCTACCACCATGAATGATGTGGTTTTAGATGATTAATTGTGATCAATAATCAAAATTCTCATTTGATTTTTTGTTTTAACAAATTTCCATGGGCAGGAAACTGGGGCATGCGATAAGAAAAAACGTGGTCCTTTATCAGAAGGGAGAAAAGAAAGGAAAAAGGTTGGACTACTTCTTCCATGTTTCTTATATAATTATATTGTTTTAAACTGTTCAATTTTCTTTGGTATATGGTTTTTATTAATATTTTTTCTTACTCACTATCACAATTACATTCTTAAGATACTGAAAAGAAAGAAGCGGGCAGAGAAGAATCGAAAACTTGGTGTGAAAAGGTTGAAGCTGCATCCAGTAACTGTGTCTAAACCAAAACCTGTAGTATACTGTCGTCATTATATCAAGGGGAGGTGCCAAGAGGTTGTATGATTAATTCTATAATTTTTTTGTTTTCATTTCTTTTTTGTCGGCTCCATAACTTAAATGATCTTATTTCGTACATGAATTTCTGTTCGTCTTTTGTTCTGCAGGGTGACAAGTGTAAATTTTCTCATCAGACAATCCCTTTGACAAAATCCACAGTAAGTTCTGGTTCTCGACTAGTGTTTGCTGCTTTAATTCATTCTAATTAATCTTTCATAAATTGTTTTTCCCTAATCTGGGAGGGTTTGTTTACTACTTACTAGTACTTCGTGTTGCTTCTGGCTTCTTAAGTGATTATTAGTTTACCTTATCCTTTTCCAAATTATAAACATATATTATGCCCCGTAATGACTGCTTAGGATTTGTATAAAATATGCTTATTGCTCTCTCTCCCTATCTGCATTTTCTACATCTGTCGAGACTTCTCTCTGTCTAAATTATCATTGATCTTGCAGCCATGTAGTTATTTCGCACGTCATTCATGTATGAAAGGCGATGACTGTCCATTTGATCATCAGCTGTCCAAGTATCCCTGTAGCAATTTTGTTTCCAAGGGTTCATGCCCCAGAGGTGATACTTGTATGTTTTCACACAAGGTATGACACTCTAAATTGCAACTCCCTTTTTATTTTTCAGTTTTATTAGTCTGGTAAGTTGCATTATGGTTTGTTAATACATTACTTATTTGTTGCAGATTTTGCCACAAGAAGAGTCTACTAGTACCCCAAATTTGAAAACCGAACCAAAACCACCACAAATACTGGATATTTCAGACTCTCAGAAAAAACTGGATATCAGTGGAACTTCTTGCAATCGAACTCCTCTGGGAGGAACTTTGCCGAAGAAACCAACCGGACTACCACCTGTTGGAATTAATTTTCAGAAAACGACTGGACCACCCCCTGTTGGAATTAATTTCCTCTCTTTCGGGAAGTCAAGTAAAACTGAACCAGTCCAGTCTTCTCAGGTGAGAAATGATAATGTGGAAGGTGGGAATGCTTTGAACCGAAGTGGAAATTCAGACGAAATCTTGAGGGAGATTCTGCCAGAAACAGCACCAAAGGGGATAAATTTTCTGTCGTTCGGTAAAACTTCACTCAAGTCTAACAGTGAGAAATTGGTTACATCTTCAAGCTACAATGATGCCACTATTCCATCCGGTAATCGGATTGAAGTTGTTTCCAAAACTGGTCATGATTTCAATGAGCTGCTGAAGAAAGTACAAATTGCAACACCCAAGCTAACGAACCTTTTGTCTCCAAAAGCTCCAATAGGAAATTATGCTCCTACTGAATTGGCTAGCTCATCCTCCAACTCGAAAATGGGTTCTGATTTATCTGTACAGATTAATGAAAGCACGTATGATAAGTATGGTTCGAGTGCACTATTACCAAGGCTGCCGGGTAATCTGATTTCTTGTGGTCAATCTTCTGACAGCTTAGCTTCTAGCATGTATAAAGGAACACCAAACTCAGCTCAGAAGGCACTATTGTCAACATTGGCATTTGCGGCACAATATGAGTCCTTGATGAATAAAGGAAAATCCAGTGGCTCTCCTGCTTTCAGTAATGAGGGTAACAAGGAAGCTAAGAATGAGAATGTTGGTGGAAGTTTGCAGAATGATCAAGCCAAAGCTTCAAAACTTTTGAGTATCTTGTTAGGCGTTGGATCTAAATCTAATTTGTAAGAAGCCTGGTAGTAGATTGCTGTAAACACATCTTAACACTGGAAAAAAGGGATCAATCATGCTATAAACATGGGATCAATCCTTTCTCTCGCCGTATTTCCAGGGTTATTCAATCCGGGTTAGTACCCAAATCAGGTATGAACTTGTTTGCCCTGAGAAAGACAAATAGTTGCCCTTATGCCTGAACAGTTTCTGACCAAATTTTGAAAGGCCTGAAATATGTTTGCTTGTGACTTAAAATGTGGTATATATGTTGCACTGGATTTCACCATGGCTAAGTTCCATTTCAAGCGAAGGTTGAAGTCTGTCTATGTTCAACGATGACCTGAAGTTGGGCTGTCTAGAATCTTTTGTTTCCTCCATTTTTTTTCTATTTGTAAAGTTGGGCTGTCCAGTCCTTAGTTTTCTACTGTTGACGTTCTTGCGTTCTCCAAGCAGTTGGAAAAGGAAAACGATATCGTTGGAGAAACGAAGAAATTGGCATCCGATCGAACGACAATTATTGGATTCTCCAGCCCACCTTGGATATGGTTAGTCCTCTGATCTATTTCTTTTTGGGTTGAAAAGGAAGTGTCCACTATGTTGAAGTATGATTTAGTCAAATTAATCGATTTTTTTCTTTGTATATTTTGGTTTCGGTTTGCAACCCTATTAGATCAACTTGTGACAAGTCTTGTCCATTTTTATTTTTATTTTTGCTGGAGCATTCCTATTGGGTTCTTCAAGATCGTAAAACCATGAACTTAGCTCTCTTATTATCATCATCATCATATTTTTAGATGCAAATCTTTCTTTAATGACCATCGAATCACAGTGATGATATAGTTTTGTTATGTTCTTACTCGAATTTGATCGAGAAATTTATTGTTCCAATGTATCGAAATTTTGTCATAGTTTAATTCGTAGTAATTATTTCGATCGAATTATAGTGCATAAGTTTGAACTTATTATTATTATTATTATTATTGTTTCTTTGTATTGAAACTAATTATTATTTTTAATGGATAGAAAATCATAAAAACGTAGGAAATTATTGAGTGAGGATTCAAAAAGAGATGCAACTATGTGACATTTATAGTATAGAATTTGAGTTTATTATTGTGATGTTTTGACAAGTGTCCGTGGGTATAAATTCTCTCTTGAAATAAATGGCAAAGTTGCCCATGACTTGGATAGAAGCCCTAATGCCACGTGTAAATCATGCAAGATCGATCGGTCCGAGCGACCGCATCAGCGGAACAAGAAAATTTTGAAGTCCCTTGGAAGTTTCCAGAAGGCAGAAGAAGATTAATTCCAAAAATGGCAGAGAATTACAATTGGTCCCCATCGGTGAGCTCTTCTATATTTTAAATTCAAAGCGACAAAAATAATTAAATTATTAATTAAATAAAATAAGAAAAATTAGGGTTGATAGCTGGAAGTAGAATGGGGTTGAGAATGTGATACGTGGATTGATTGAACCTTTTTTTTTTTCCCTTTCTTTCCTTTTGTTTGGGAGGGGACAAAATGGATTCATTGAACTGAATAAAGAGCGAAGCAATACAATTTTTTCCATAAGTAACGAAATTTCTCATGCGTTCTTTCCATTTTAGATAGCAAGTTGTTCATTGTGAAGTTTATCTTATCCGAAACAATATCTCTTCAATTTGTTGGAAGTGAGTGGAAAATTCAAATGGTACTGCCTGACGGTGGCGGTGGCGGTGCTGCAAGCGGCGGCGCGTTATGTACGCGACCCGTCGCGGGAAAGAATGTAAAGGAAGAGAAGGTGGATGAGTACGAGCTTCGTCGCAATAACAATGGTAATAGTACCAATGATGTGATTATATTTGGTGGGTCTGCTTCTTCTTCTTGTTCGTCGGATGGCTTGCTGAAAAGTCGTGTGGATTCGATTCCGGCTTCGAAGAAAGTTAAACAGGACACACCGGAGGGCAAAATGGTGTTAATTAAAGAGGAAAGCACGGTGGCAATGGACGACAGTGGAGCTTCAGATTGCGGCGGTGATGGTGGCTGTAATGGTTCTGCCTCGTCGACTTCATCGGCTTCTTTGGCGAAACCGATGGAGGGATTGCACGAGGTGGGGCCACCGCCGTTTCTGAGGAAGACGTTTGAGATGGTGGAGGATCCGGAAACCGACCTGGTTGTATCATGGAGCGAAGCTCGTAACAGCTTCATTGTTTGGGATTCTCATGAACTGTCCAAAAGTCTTCTGCCAAAGTACTTCAAGCACTGCAATTTCTCCAGCTTCATCCGCCAGCTTAATACTTATGTGAGTATAAGATAATTTATTGTTCAGCTCTATCCATGTGATTCTTTGACTGAAGCTGTTTTTGGTTAAACCTCAAAAAATAGTTGTAAGAAAATATGTTTTTCATTTTTCAAATTTGACCGATTTTGAGAACTAGAAATTTTTTGTAGATAAACATGATTTTAAAAAATATAACTATAAACATATTAGTGACAAAAGAAATATTAATTTGTAAACTACTTTCTATGTGGTTTGTTTGTTGATGTACATTGCAGGGTTTTAGGAAGATTGATTCTGACAAATGGGAGTTTGCAAATGAAGGGTTTCAGGGAGGGAAGAAACATTTGCTCAAGAATATTAAGAGAAGAAACAGGTACAACAAGCAGCAAATAGCGATGGCCATGACTTTAGAAGATTTGACAAAGCCAGGAATTGAAACAGAGCTTGATAATCTGAAAACTGATAACAACTTTTTGAAAGTAGAGATCTTGAAACTGAGAGAGCAGCAACAGGACTCACGTAACCAACTAACCATGGTTGAAGAGCGCGTTCGCTGTGCTGAGTGTAAGCAGCAACAGATGTTCTCTTTTCTGACCAAAATGTCTAGAAACCCTACCTTCGTTCGACAGTTTGTCCAGAAAAGAATGCTTAGAAAGGAGCTGAATGGGAATGAGTTCGGGAAGAAACGAAGACTGCCAGCGATGCAAGACCGTGAAAGCATCGAGCTTGATGGTGCTTGGGATATTAATTGTGAAAACAATGTCCAAGTTCAAGATGAGCTGCTGAACATGCAGTCTGAACTCACTGAAATGTTTCCAGAAGTCATGGAACCCGGACCGGTAGAGACACCATTCCAATCTTCGATCGATAATAAACCAAGCGGTTCAATTCAGACTCAGAAGGTCATGTTTCCTGACACGGCCGCTGTTTGTATGCCAGTGCCACCATCCAAAATATTGGGAGACAATATGACGGTTGATGAAGAATTGACTGCCAATGACTCCAAATTTTATTTGGAATTGGAGAATTTGATCCAGAAGCCTCATGATTGCGCAGGTTATGTACAGAAACAGGTTTTCCATGGTTGTGTTGGATCCTTGCCATGAATTTTTCATTGAACAAGTATGCACGTGTTATTCCACAAATGCCATTGTACGTGAAATTTGATGTTACTGTGATAAATTTGCAGATATGAAGAAAGAATTCTGCAGTAATTGGTAAAAGAGGCCCTTTCTATAGATGGAGATTCTTCCTTGGTTTGCTCACTAGTAGCAGCAGAATATGATCATCTGTTACCAAAATTTGTAAATCCATGCGTTAAGGAATATTATTAGTAGTGGCATAGTTGTAATTACTCGAGAAGTTTGCAGAGGGGAAAGGCTATTTTCTCTTTGATATTATGCTATTAGCTGTAGTGATTATTTTGTGTTAGATTACTTGGGTGCGCTTCTGTTGGTGATTTTTTGTGGAGGATCTGCGCAAGGTTAGGAGTCGTATATTAACTGCTAACGTGGGTATCTATTATATATATATGTCGTCAAGCATTTAATATCTATTATAAATAAATCTAAAGGATTAGGACTAAAATGCAAGTTAAACTTTTACTATTGTATCCCCGTCGTTGCGAGTGCTGCTGATGTTTTCGTTCACCGCCTTCAAACACGTCTTTTATTTTCCACGGCTGGAAAGAGGAAAGCAATTTTACATAATGGAGAAGCATTAAAATTCTTGGGTTTTGAGTCATTGACCAAGTATATTATTGCCAGCAGGGATGAGGGATGGGATTAACAATACGAATATACAAAATAAAAATAGGGTTATCCACTGCATACTACAGAATAACATCAACTCAATTTCTTCCACATTTTAATCAATTTTGTTTCTTATAAAAAGTTTACTAGTATGTACGTTTTTGTTGGGGTTTACCTTTTTAAGTTAATATTTTTTGTCAATTAAAGTATACAACTTTTTTCCATTACTTAAATCTCTGCATTTGAATGTTTGAGATTAAAAATCAACTAATCGACCGAAGAGAATCAATAACAACTGTAACAGTTTCTTTTTTTTTTTTTTTTGCAAACACACTTATTAAACTGGTTAAAATACATCTTCAGATTCAAATATTTATCATCCTATTTTGTTGAACTAAGAACAAGAGCAGTGGATTTGATTGGGCTAGTTTTTAATTTTTATAAATATACAAAACAAATAGTGAGTTTCATTTAATTTTTGGTATCTTTTTATCTTTTAAGTAAAACCAATCTTTTAACTCAACCCTAGCCTTTGGAGTTGGAGTGACCCAAGGAAATGATAAACAAAATTCCTGCCCTAGATCTCTAATTGCATTTTCATTTCTTTTTCGATGAACCTCCGATTTCCTTTCTCCGCGTGGAGATGGCGGTGAATTTTGAATTCTTCACCGTCGATTGGCCTTCCAGTTCCATGCGCTTGCTCATTCGATGTTGAAGTTCTGGTAATCGTTTTGGACATCTAGTCTTCTCTAGGGTTCTACTTCTTGTTTTTGGTTGGCGGATGGAACCTCGCGTCGGGAATAAGTTTCGGCTTGGCCGGAAGATCGGTAGCGGCTCGTTCGGGGAGATCTATCTCGGTTCGTCTTTCTCCTTCAGTTTATCAGCATTCGAAGTTCTGATTATGGTGCTGTATTAGAAGTAGGTTTAATGGTTGTGTCGAATCTGCAGGTACTAATATTCAGACGAATGAAGAGGTTGCGATTAAACTGGTAAGTGTTCCGATCTTAACCCAGCACTACGATTATAACTTCGCCTAGTCTGTTTCTCTTTTTCGTCTAGATGAGTTCTTTCCTTCTTCCCGCCGTTTGTGGTTCTGCAGTCTTTATATGCCTGGATTTACCATTCACTGTTCCCTTATTAGCGAGCCAGGTTATGAATTATACAGAAGTTGTTGTGGACTGTCAGTTACACGAATTGGAGAGGTTTTGAATGAGAAGAATGTTAATTTATGTGACACTCGACTGAAATAAGAAAGTAGCAGGATTTTTATGGTTTAGCAACTATTTGAGTGGAAGGTTGATCTCTCCAGTCATATAATAAATATTATATAAATAGGATTCTAGTGGATGAATCTTTAAACGAGACATGTACCGAAGCAAACAAACGAAACGAGGTGATTCGGTCAAAAAAAATGAATTGTTGTTTTGAGGAGAACCCCTAAATAACGTTTCAATAAAAAGTAAAGTATGTAGGTCTCCGCTTTTTAGCCCACTCTTTTTTGGTTAGACACATCCCATTGCACTGATCGGGGGTGTTCGTAGTGACTGAGGGGGATAGAGAATAATGTTAATGTTCGAACGGAGGTTGCTATTTTCTTAGAAAAGCAACGATGGATATGAGACTCGACTAAAATAAAGCTAATAGCGAGAGGTTTTTGGTTTAGTTGAGTGGAATGCACACTTATCGCTTATGCCTTGCATGCGTAAATGTAATAATTTGTCCACTGTGTTGATAATGCTTCTTTGAGTTGAATGTAGTTTTCGTTTTTTTCTGAGCTTGTTCATGTTCTAATACGACTTCTACTTTATGTTTCTTATGTTCAGGAAAATGTCAAGACGAAGCATCCTCAGTTGCTTTACGAGTCTAAGTTATACAGAATCCTGCAGGGAGGAAGTAATGAAATATCCATCTACCTTTTTTTTTCTTTTCCATGTAATTGTAACTTTTCTTGTCAGTTATTTGAATTTTACTTTTCCTTTCTAAATTCTGTTGAATACAGCTGGCATACCGAACGTAAGATGGTTTGGAGTTGAAGGAGACTACAATGTTCTTGTAATGGATTTGCTTGGTCCCAGTCTTGAAGATCTATTTAACTTCTGCAGCCGAAAGCTTTCTCTGAAGACAGTTCTTATGCTTGCGGATCAAATGGTAGATTTAATTAAGTAAATTGATATCTGATGTTAATTCTCTCTGATTGACTTTCTATTATAATTTATATTTTAAACGTCATTTGGTTGTTCGCTCAGATCAACCGCGTTGAATTTGTCCATTCTAAATCTTTTCTACATCGGGATATCAAGCCAGACAATTTTCTCATGGGGTTGGGGAGGCGTGCAAATCAGGTACTTGTTTCAGATTTACTGGAACATAGTATTCACCTTCTTAAGATTTTAATCAATTTAATCTTTCTGGTTCTGCAATATTTAGAATTTCCTTATTATAACATGCAGGTTTACATCATTGACTTTGGTCTTGCTAAGAAATACAGAGATAGTTCTACCCATCAACACATCCCTTACAGGTGATTAGAGTTCATAGATGTTGCCTTCACCTTCTTTTCATAATCGATTTTCTTTTGCCTTTAGTGCAAGTCTTTTAGTAATTGTTCCTGGTTGTTGTAGAGAAAACAAGAACTTGACTGGGACTGCAAGATATGCAAGCATGAACACTCACCTTGGGATAGGTGCTTCTTTTACCCTTCTTTAAAATAATAATGTTTATTCTCTGATATTTGATAGTCAAGTTACGTGTTGGATGTTGCATAATAATTGTCTGTACTCTAAATGTGGTTTGTAAAGGCTGTGACCACCTAGAAGAATGGATACTACATGAAACAGAGATTTTTTAATGATATATCATCCTAAATATAGAACGTTTTCAAAGGTTAAATTACAAGTTCAGTCGAACTATAAAAGATGCCTGACAAAAACTTTATAGGGGCATGTGTATTGAAAGTTTAGGGACTAAACTTGTAATTTAAGCTAAATTATATTTGTGTTTACTAAACATTTCAGTGCTTTCAAATATAATGAATTGTATGATGTTGGACTTGGATATGTATATACTTGTGTATCTTTATATATATATTTTTAAAGAAGAAGCAAAAACCTTTAATTGATATTTGAGAAGTTACAACCAAAGCGCGAAACGACTTCTTTTAGAAGTTGCACAAGAAAGGAACCCAAGAAAGTAAATTCCTTAGGAATATTTGCAAGAAAGGACCCCAAGAAAGAGGGACCAAGAAGTTGTTTACTGTTTGATAAGTTTTAATCTCAATCAACTTGTTTTCCTAATTCATTCAAAGGTGCACTGATTCCTCTTTATCCAAATGCCTCAATATTTTGCTTTAACAATATTGTTCCTTGATATTTGAGCTCTTCTGTTAAGCCCATAACCATGTAGCAAGCTTATATTATTATTCTTAGCAGCCAAAGTTTCCTACCGCAAAAACGACAATAGACATGTTTATAATCATTTTGTAGGAAGAGTTTGCCATCCGATGTAATTTTTTCTCTCTTTTTTTTATTTACTTTAATTTTAATTTTCAGATGCTCCGCCCTAGCCAATCATTATTTGATTTTTTAATTTATCCTCCACATTTTCTCCTAGTGGTCTTAAGGGTCTTTTTGCTCCACATACTCATAACTCATGAGTCGACAAAGACCTCCGAGCTTGATCTTCCCACCAACATTCTCACGAGATATCTTAATTTTACCTCTAAGTTTCTGTTCATACACATGCATGAAGTATTCTAATTGTGACGTGGATGCATGCATTCCCTCTCTTTTTGGCCGGAATTGAGGTTCTCTAACCTGGGGATTACTTTACCATTTTGTTTTAATATTATTTAATATAACTGATATTAGTTATCACCTTCCTCTTTACTGACAATCTACCATCTGGATTGCAGAGCAAAGTCGAAGGGATGACTTGGAGTCTCTTGGTTATGTCCTTATGTACTTCTTAAGAGGAAGGTGATTAGTTTTTACCACTTTGTTTTTGTTATCATGAATACAGCATCAAATATAGCTTTCCGAGGCTTGTTAATTTAGTAATACATCCTTGTTTCCAATCCGAAAAAAGAGTTAATTTAGTAATACATTATCTGTTCTGGCAGTCTTCCCTGGCAGGGACTGAAAGCAGGAACTAAGAAACAGAAGTATGAGAAAATTAGTGAGAAGAAAGTATCTACCTCTATTGAGGCAAGTTGTTTTTAAATGTAACTTATAGAGCATTCTTAACACTTCTTCTCTGTCTAAAAGGACTTAATGGTCTTATAGGCATTATGCCGCGGTTATCCATCAGAATTTGCGTCATATTTCCATTACTGCCGATCGCTACGTTTTGATGATAAGCCAGATTATGCTTATCTGAAAAGAATATTCCGTGATCTCTTCATACGTGAAGGTTCGAATATCTTTATAATTTGCAACTGCACTGTTTTTTCTTGTTTCTAAAATGGTATGTTGTTAGAATAAATACTATGTGTGTTTTTGTTGTTGTTTGTTTTGCTACAGGTTTCCAGTTTGATTATGTGTTTGACTGGACCATTTTAAAGTATCAGCAGTCACAGCTGGCCACTCCTCCAACCCGTGCACTAGTTAGTTTATTTGTGGCATTCTTTTATTGTGTTCTTTTAACCAGTACTGAATGGATGGTACTTATTCTTCTATTAGGGTGCCGGTGCTGGAACCAGTTCCGGAATCCCTCCTGGAATAGCTAGTGCTGATAGACAGCCGACAGGTATTTTTCTTCTTTTATTTTTTTTGTTGAATTTCTTCTTGTTTGTCCCTTTGACCTTTTGACTTAAAGGTGGAGAGGAGGCACAACTAGCTGGGTTGTCTTTGATGGATTCATCTAGGCGGAGGGTATCCGGGCTGGCTATGAATTCTGGGACTTTTGCAAAACAGAAGAGTCCAATTGCCAATGATACTGCACTCCCTAAAGACGCAGTGGTATGTTTACATGCGCTCTTGACTCTACCTTATTTAATCTACCATTTCATACTCTTATTTTATACATCCATAATTGAATATTGACTTAGAAGATATTCTATGTATGTTGTTAAAATCACTCCCGCTATTGCCAAAATCACTTCCATTTCCATTGGGAAGTTAAAAAACTGATTTTAGGAAAACATTAAATCATTTAAAAATTTTAAGGTATTGGAAAATCAATTATTCTTAAACCTTTTTTTTTTCAAAATCACTCACTCTGACTCACACTAATCATTTAATTTTGATTTTTTATCTCTCTCGAGAAAACCATATATTCACTTTATTAAAAATGAAAGCATTGTTTTTCTAATGTCGGAGTTCAAATTTTATTACCTGGTTTACTGTCCATTGAGCACGCGGGACCAAAGTTATCTGTCATTATGACCATACTGGCGCTCTAATTATTAAATAATTTTAAAGCTTTCAAATTATAGTATGCACGCTAATAACTAAATAGCTGTAGACTATAACTAAGGTTAAAAAATTATTTTACTTTTAGTCCCTGTATTTTAATTTGTAATGATTTAATCATTGTGCTTTCGAATTGATAACAATTTAGTCTTTAAACTTTAATAGGTAATAATTTCGTTCTTGTAATTTAAAGTTGGTAACTATTTAGTTTTTATCATTGTTAAGTTTTTTTTGTATGTATAGATTGATAAGTTAAAGAGGGATCAAATATGTTTATGAATTAGAAAGATTAAATTTTTATATGATAAAATTTGACACTTAATTTTAATAAAAAAATTTATGATAGGAACTAAGTTGTTACAAATTTTAAATTATTTTAAACTACAGGGACGGATTAAGTTGTTACTTTAGGAAACGTACGAGGACTAAAACGTTATCAACTATAGTTCAGGGACTAAATTGTTATTTTAGTGAAAGTATAGGGACCAAGCATGTTTTTTAACCAATAACTAAAAATAACCGATAACTAAAAATAAGAGTTCAATTTTTCAATTCAAGCTGCTAGAATTTTAAAATTGGAGCAGACAGTTCTTTGCGTGTCTTTCAATTGTACTTTGTTTTCTCTCGACTCATTGAGAATGTGAATTTAGATTATTAGGCTCTGTATGTAATTTAACTTCCATTTGCTGCTTGAGCCAACTAACGCCCAAGTTGTGCACTATGCAGTTTTCAGGCTCTAATATTGTGGGGCGATCGAGTGGATCATCAAGACGGGCTGCTGTATCGAGTAGCCGGGATCCTTATATTGGAAGCGAATCAGATCACCACCGCTCTCGAACAACCGATGCTAGTCCTGGGGCATTGCATAAGAGCATAAGCGTGCAGAGAAGTCCACCAGTTGGACCGGCAGAACCCAAGCGCAGCGCATCCGGAAGGCACACTGGACATGTAAAGAATTATGACTCTGCTTTGAAGGGAATCGAAGGGCTGCAATTGGAGAATGATTATTAGAGCAGGTCACCTCGGCGCTCTTTATGTTCAGTTCAGTTGTACAAGAATTTTCTGGTGTGGGACAATGCTATGCTGTAGAATAGGAAGGAGATATTGTCACCTTCATTTAAGGGGTGGTGGTGTGATTTCCAACCAACGTACTCCATTTATGGATTCGTCTTCTGAAAAAAAAAACGGCCTTTAATTTAGACAGACAACAACCCACTCATGGCTTTATTGGGATTTGTTATGTAAAGTCCACGTTCAGTGATTGGTGCCACTATTTTCATTACATTACTACGTGCATTCCACCAAAAACAGGCAAAGAAAACAAAAACTTGTGAAATTAGTTGCTTCTTTCGTATTGGAACATAATCTACCCAACCATTGGAAATGTGTATATTTTGCTTCCAAGTTTCTCCATTTTATTTCATTTCTTGTCAAAATATGGAAAGTTGGGTTTTAACCTTTTTTTGACTTTTTTAAGTAGTTGAGTTGTGTTGCATGCTGGTCGTGGTGGCCCTTGTGTTTTGTAAAAGAAGCTCCGGTCGAAGTCATGTGGAATATACATAATAAAAAAATAACAAATAAACCTAATTGAATTTACATAGATAGCATGAAACTTGACGAAAACATAGCATTGCATCTCAAAAAGTACAAAAGAAGTTGTGGGAGGCAGCAGGGAATGGAAAAGGGTGGGATCGCTATGTTTACCCGCGCAGAAAGTAGAGGAAGTTGAGCCACAGCCACATACGTAAATTAGAGAGTAGCTTAGTCGATCCCTTTGCGGTTGAGCAAGTCGTGATAGTATAGTAAGAGACACATTGGTTGACCAAGAATGCTAAATATGAACCAGAACGTCATGTTTCCAACCTGACCATTCAAACACTACAACATCAAAATAATAACTAAACCCCATTCACCTCACCTAGCTAATGCCATAGCCGTCAATACAGTAAATCATTTTCTTATCAATGCACTCTATATAACTATTTAATTTACTTTATTCAATTATAATCAAGGACATATTATTGACCCATACCTGAAACTGACACCTTGTTAAAACTTACTTCGGTTTTCAGGCTTGTCGATTTAATTTTCCTCCCAAATCCTAATATATACTACACCTATGTACAATTGGATATTTCTAGGAACAGAAACTTGGCATACCATAGAGTTTTTGAACGTATTTTGAAGGTGATTCGTTATCAAAACCAGCGGAATCTGCATCAAGCAAGAAAAAAGTTCAAAGAAAATGCAAAGAAAAAAATAGTGGGACCAGAGAATTCACGTCCATCAAATGAAAATTTCATAAAATTATGAGAAACTATTGACCTGAAACATTATTCCTATGAAAGCCCAGAGCTTGAACATGTGGCAAGGGACAGCAATGCACAGCTGCATAAATAATAACACTAGATTAATTAAATAGAACACGTCGTCAAACTTCTGGTAAACATGACACCATTATTTGCCTAAAAAGAAAAAGATAAATAAAAATTACCAGGAATCAAGGGTTGAAAACCACTTAGAATTTAGAAATATTGGGCAGCAAAGTTTTGAAGGGGAAAGTATAGGGCAATTTCATAGCTCATAACAAATTAAAATACATCCAAATGCAACATCACGATTTTAAATTGACATGGAGGACACAGTTCTATTTTTCAGGATTGACGTAAAAATCATCACCACTCCTTCCTTCCCCCTTTTCTTTATTTGAACTTAATGTAGAACAAGCCCATCAAAGAGATTTTTCGAAAAGCATAGCAAAGCAATTCATACCACCCTTTAAAAGCTTGCTGAAATGCAATCGAAATGGTTGGCATGATGGCACATAAGCTCAATAATCACAAAAAATGCAGTTTTTAACTCAAATTTATTACAAAAGAGTTAACCCTTCATTGCAAATCATTTAATCAGTGTATAAATACAAACAAAATTTCCCTCATTTCCACAAGCCAGAAATTTAGTAAAGCATAACAAAGGTTTAGAGAAGCTAGGAAATAAAAATACCGAGAAAATGAAAAGGAAGTGAAAAGTTTATACCTCATGGAATACTGCAGAAACTAGAAATGAAATTACGATTGCAACTCCCTGCATATGTTTGGTAAGAGAAGATAGAGCATTTATTACAAATATTCTTCTATACAACAGTTCATTAATTTAATAAACAGTTCATGCAAAAATTTTCAGAGATGAAGTTATGAAATTGACAGATGGCCAAGTATCTATTAAGATGAATATCTCAAAGAAGAACAAAGTGAGACATTTAAGTTGATTGTGGCAGATCTGCAATTAGCCAACAATATTTTGGTCAGAGATGAGACGAGAGGAACCTGATGTAGATACTACCCCAACCCAATTCACCAAATCAAAACTTCGGTTTAGAAAGCAGGATGCCCGACATTCAATTTCAAAAGACAAGTTTTCCTTTTCATATAATAATTATTCATTTTTTACCATAGGCTATCATATTGAGAAAGGAGAAATCACATGGTAAAGGTGAGCAATATTCTGTGCAAGCAAAAAATACTGCAGAAATGGTTGTGTCGTGCCTAATTCATCTTCTTTAAAGAAAACTCAAAGATGCAAAGAAATGTCCCAAATTGTCAGCAATCAAATATAAAAAGAAGATATATAGTCCATTTAAATATCATGTTCAATGTCATCACATTGGATATATAGATGCCAGAATTCCTTGGTCTGATTTATTAATATGAAACCATCTTGTGGCCTCTGAGCTTACTAAGACCATCAAGGTGTCTGTTTTTTTTCCTTTTTTCAATAGCCTATACCATTATCTCCATCAAAGTAATAAATTAGATAACCATCTCCATGTATTTGGTAAACATATGAAACCAACTCATCCTTATCCACCAAGAACAGGGGAAGGAGCTGGAAGTACTTCTCAATTTAAACATTCCCATGCATCATTTTACCATATCAGTAAAGGGTGAAATCAACATTTGAAGGCCAATATGTTAAACATGCATTGAGGAACATCAATACATGAAGATGACACTACATAGTTATCTGCTGAAAGACACTTGCAATAGATGTGGTGAGAATAAAAATAGCACAAAGTACCTTCGGTATCCCATTTCTTAGGCATGGAAAATAGATGTGGCGAACCATCCATTTATGGACAGGCTGTTCATAGAAGTCAAATCAGTTGACAATTAACCATCCATTTATGCACGGTTAATTTCAAATATTATTACTGGTTGGATATAGAATATCATAAGAGGGAAATAAGTTGGTACATGTTGTACTAGTATTTTTTAAGTACTAACAGGACTGACAAAAAGAATACAACTAAAGCACGACCAAAATAGACTAGAAAGTTCTTTTTTTTTTCTTTCCATGAACTCATGAAGAGAAACTAGAAACCATTACAAACTAAAAATATAAAAAATTAACAGTGTAAGGACAAAAATAATTTGTTGACTTAGTGAGTTGTTTCTTTTCATTACAACGTAAGAACGATGCCTGATTTCAGTATATCGAGACTAAAATTATCATAGATCACAGTTGAGAAGAAAATCGCTTTGAAAGAATATGGACTGAGGAACATACCATATTCCACATTCTCCAATACTGCAGCCATGGAGCCAAAGGAAAGATCCACACAATCAAGACAAATAGTTAAATACATCTTCATAGAAAAGGGAATAGGTGAAGAAAACGTAAGAAACATATTTTCACTGGGCATATATTAACCTCTTCAACTGTTTGGGCATTCCACCAGTCCTTGTAGAACTCTCGATCTCCAAAACAAAGAACCTCAGCCAATATATTTAACCTATCAGGTGAAACCATACTTTGTAATTTAGAAGTTCAAACAAATAATTTCATCCAAAATGTTTTATCATGTTTAAGATACGTACCATAGGTGGAAAAAGCAGTAAAACATGCACAGCCAAACATATAAATTTGGCACAGAAAGCTTTAAGATCCTCTCTGTAGCATACAAAAGGTTACCCTTTAACGGATGTTGAGAATTTCTGACAATAGGATTTATGTACTGTAAGATCATAAAAGAAAAAAAGCACATTAAACTTCCATCAATTTATGAAGATTTAGAAAATAAGACGGAGCTAGGGAACTATTAAGATTTAAGACTAGGCAATATACCTGTTCAATAATAAAACCCATAACCCCAGTGAATATTATTAACTTAACAAATTGTCGAACCACCCAACCCTTTCGTATGTGTGCTGTTCGTGGGTAGCTTGGCTGCAAGGACAGTGCACAAAATGGCCGTCAACAGATAAAAATCATATCACATTGAGTAAATAGAAATATGAATAAGCAATTATCTAGATATGAGAAGTAGTAGCTGATTCATGCACCTAACAAAATCTTCAAAATATTTCCTTTTTGATAAAATACCTGATAACATAATGTCGGAGCAAGCATAAAGTAGACCAAACTCCTGAAACTAACATTGTGAGGGTAGTCCGAGGTCAGGGAACTAGGCAAGACATCTCCCTAAGGAAACAACTTTATGACATTAGAACAGACAGATACCAAATCATCAAACATCAGGCAGAAATAGTGATACAAGGAGAGCACATATTTCTAATCCTTGCAAAAATGAGAAACATGAGTAAACCTTCAAAAAGAGTTAAAACAAGCCATCCACTCAAATACAGCCAGTTGTAAACTTTCAAACAACTCAAATTAGAAATATTGTTTTGAAAAAGAAATAAAATATTCACAATAATAATGATCAAATAAAACACTAACTTAAAGCTAATAATTTATTAAGAACTCTAAACAGCTTCTGGAACATTCTTTCGCACAGAAATACTTTGTTCAAGAACCCATGAAAGGGAACCAGATTGTTACCTCATCAACTGATTTGGAAACTGCTCTCATGTCATGATTTGTATGAGCATACGAAACCAATTTCAACCAGACAATGCATGCAAAGAGCATCAAAGTTACACCAGATAAAACAGCAGAGTCAAACCTGCACAATTTTAAGTCATTAAATCAAATCATATGCTTTGCGACTCAGCTTTCCAATTTCCATATTCATGTAAGATCATTGAATCTATCATCATTCCCATAGATAAACAGTAGGTTACATACTCCAGAATATCTAGAGAGCGGGAGAGAGTTTGCAAATAAAATTCTATAGAATCATTCAGAAATTACAGTTTCCAACATAGAAGACTGCTATGAAATTAATGCCAACTTGCTCACATCCTAATTATGGAGTATATAGCGAGAATATTAATAATAAAGTAACAAGGTGTTTCCATCTTTATGTATCTTTGAAAGTCAGACTTCGTAGCTAGATTATAGGTTTTCTCTATTTTCTCATCAAGCAATTTGGACCTGTTTTTAAAACACTATTCTGAAAAAAAAATTTCAAAAGAGCTATGCATAAAACATACATAATGAACAGTCAGATTAAAGTCAGAATAGTTAATTTTACCTCCCCAAAAGGTTCTGTGTTAACGTTAGAAAAAATTAACTTATATAAGCATTTTCAACATGTTAAAACATTAAGTAACAATCTATTAATAAAAATAAGAAATGATCCAACGTCACTCAGTTGATCATCCTCCTAAAAAAGTGCCAAATGTGCGAAGGAAACCATAACTTACCTGAGAATCATAAAAACTGGGTACAGAACTGCAGCAGTGGTAATAATAATATGAAGAAAAATAATAACCTGCAATTGCAATTTCAGCCTGTTATCCATCAAATTATCATATATACAGTTGAAATCCATCCAAAGAAACGCTTACAGTCCTAAAAAAGATAAAGGAAAGTAAAGAAATGAGAAAGAGTTCCGCATAGAGTTAACTAAAAAGCTTACAGGCTCAGATATATATTTCTGTACTGCGAACTTCTCAACAAGAAAAGCAGAAAGGGGGAATACAGGGAGAGAAAGGCTGCAAGGGAAAGTAAGGCAGTGCTATGTCAGATAATAATTAAAAATACATATATTTAATTAAATAATAAGAGCTCATACATCTTACTGGAGTAGCAAAAGAAACAATAAGAAATTTACCAACACATTAGAAGTGGCCAGTCTCGCAAGGATCTTGAACTAAACCAAAAACCACTTTGAATTAACCAACCATACTGCAAAAAGTATACCAAACAGGGGGGAAACAGAAATTACATTAAACCTAAGCAAAAAATACTCTCCCAGAAATGACGTAAATAACAAAAAATTGATGGAAGTAGGTAAGAAACGAAAACGAGCCAATTTCACTTGTTCTACATAGTTGACGCCAAAAATACAAGAATAGGCTAGAGGAGGCAGACCTTCATAAGATTCTCAATGATCAGTCTGCTGTTAACTGCAACAAGCACTACTATACAGAGGTTGAACAGACCTGCGTGGCTCTGCCATTTGAAATAATAAAATTGTGTGCATTATATAATCATCAACCATCGGATCTAAGCCAGAAATAACACGGCATGTTAACCATAGTTTCATGCGAGTAAAGTATTTTCGATGACAATTCAAGATGATCAAAATGTTGCTCGAACAAAACATTCCGTCTCGGAAGATTTTCTTCGACAAGCAGTCGGCCTAAGCATAAATTCACTTATGAAACGGAAAATCGACTTCGGATAGCTGTTTAATATTTCAGCTATGCAGTTCCGAACAGGAAGAACAGATGTACGTGCGGTATCAAGATAAAAATTAACCGATAACTTTTTCCTACCTGTCTGAATATCGCATCAGAGCTTAGAGGACTTTCCTTTACTCGCCGATGAGCCGGAACCGAAGGCCGGTAAGCAAATTTCACAGCGGAAACATCAAAATTCGCGTCGCCTCGACTCTCGGACTTATCACCAGGATCCTTTTCCGTTTCCATTAGATTCAGATTTTCAACAGCGTCATTTCGATCCTTATCGTCCTCGCGTCTCTTGGCAGCCGATAAAGCATTAACACCTGCATCTGGAAGCAAATTGTCACATTCACTAGTGTTCGGTCTCAAAATTGTATCAGACTCCGGTACGGCGGTGGTAGCACTCGGTCGCCTACGAACGAAGCGGTTGGCATCCAATTCGCTTAAAGAGCTAGGTGAGGCGGTTGTACTCTCAAGCGTATCGGCGATCGCCATCAGAGAAGAGAACACAGCTACAACAATAGACGGAATGAGAGAAATTCTTGTAAAAAGAAAAGGCGAAATAGAGGTAGAGGAAAGATGAACAAAAATTAGCGAACGAATCAACCGCGCGCATGAACAGTAGAAACAGAAAGAGCGGGAAAGAACTTACATAGTCGGTGAACTGGAGGTTAGGCGGTGAAGGCGAAGCCAGCGAGAGAGAGAATCCGATCAAGACGAAAAAGGAGTACGCGAGAGAGAGAGATTTGATTCACATTAGAAGGCAGAAGGAGAGAGGCAAAGAGCGATTTGAAGTCGTTCAGAGAAATGTCAAGAATCTAGAGATGCGAGAGATGGCAAATTTCGCGACGTGGTGACGGACGAATGGAAGTGTCAGCGTCAGCGCCTTATTGCATTCATTTATTTTACTCCTGGTTCTGGTAGAGGGACGCAGAATCTGACATCCCTATGTCCTAGATTTATCATGTCATACAAAAATATCCTCAATCTAAATATAAGCCTTAAGCCAATCTGAATTTTTACTCATTTTAGACCAATTTTAATTGAGCTTAGTTTTGACTTAGTTTATATGATTTAATAATTTTCAATTTAATCATTATGGTTTAATCACATTTCACAAAAAAATCATCATCGTCATATTTACTTTTTCTCTCATGCAGCAACTTTCTATTTGGGATAACTTCCTATTTTCTAGGACTACACAAGAAAATAGGTGAGGTTTTCAAACGGATAAAACATAATTTATGAATGAATGATAATGTGATGTCTCTATAGAACCCTCCTCTGAATAATTAATGGAAATTGAACACCGATACAACATGGAAAGATAAACGAGGTGTCAGGGGGTTGGGATGGATCATTAGAAACGAGAAAGGGGAACTAATCAGAGCGGGTTGTAAACAAATCGGAGAGAAAAGAGATATTTGATACCTGAAAATGGTTGTGAGGGCTTGAAAGCTATACTACGAAGAAATCACTATCCAATTCACCTAGAATCAAATTCTCATGCTACGATCTAGCTTCTTCAATGACAACGAGTAGATTTGACTGAAATAGTTTTGACTAATAGAGGAAGCAAGACAAAACACATAAGGAATTAGAGTTGCATCAATGTCGCACATCAGCATAGGTGCATATTCGGTGGCGCATGTCGTAGCAAACGGGTGACAAAAGAAGATTTGATGGAGGAGTGGAGTTCTCATACTCCAAACTAGTATGGATATTATAGTTCAATATGAATTTGTGATGCTTTAATGTGTAATTTTCCTTGCTAGAAAAAAATTATGAATGACTCGTGAGATTTAACTAAACTATGACGATCAAATTGAAACTAATCCCAAACTAGATTTATTAAATTTAAAATTTTAAAATTATAGGGATCAAATTGAAAATAAACTTAACTCATGATTATTAAATTTAAACTTTAAGAATCATGAGAATCAAATTCAAACTTTAGTCTAAATTATAGACTAAATTCGTAATTTATCCAATTATTTTTCTCTTATTTTATAAAATTGAGACTTTGATATTATTGTACGATAACATTTAACTTGTTGGGCAGAGTCTTGGACTATGTGGTGTAATTAAATATAGTTTCATCATATTTGACTTTATCTAACAACCATAAAATGACAGTAAACAGACTTTTTGTAGACTTGTTACGAATAACTAACTTTTCATCATCCACCATGGCCAAATTTGGTGGTTGCTTCTTTTATTATTATTATTTTTCTAATAAAAACTTATATAAGATCAAGCATATTGAGATGATTATTTTTTCTAGCATAGTTGTGGACATATTTAGAATATAGTCTAAGTGATTAGGGAGTTGATATCTCCACTTATAAGTCATACGTTCAAATCTTTTGTCGTTTACCTCGAATCGATTTGAATTTTCCATTCCAAAATTAATATATACTTGATCACTTTCCAAAATGTTTGGATTTTATTTTTCTAGTTGTCCAATTTTTTTCTTACCTAACATGTAATGTTGTAACAATTTAATTTTCACAAGATACAGACGAGGAATTCACCTCTTTATCAGGAGGCTCTTCATTTGGTAGTGAGACTTCATGTAAAGAAATTTGTGATTCGATTGGATTGTTTGGAGGGTGTTCGTTAAGATATCTAATTCCTTTTATAGAAGTCAAACGTTTAACACTCTATCCCCACGTTTGTTATACTAATAAAACATGCAGAGTTATTACTCCATCTCAACCATTCTCCCTATTTTAGATGGTATAAACTTGCATCTGTATACTCAACGCTCGAGAATAAGTCCATTGAATTCCTGTCCTGCTAAACTTTCCGTGGGGAATTCGTAGGGAAACTAAGGGCGGAGAGATGGAAGAGATTATTGAAAATGTACACAGTACACTACATATAACATAGCAAGATCCAGTAAGAAACAATACCTGTCAGGCTCGATCCTCGGGGAATCTAAACATTGTGTAGTTACATAAGAGGAGGAAAATGGGGAAGTTCAAGCTAGTGTGAGATATGTTCTTATCATGGTTGCTCCAGTAGGATCAGAAAGAAGATGCTTAACCAGGCACATTCTTAGATCATTTGGAGCAATGATGAACATATACAAGGCGAAAACTGCGAGGTCTACTGAAGATAATGTAGACCCAAGAAATCCCTGCCACATCCTGCAAATTCGAAAACCCAACTTTCAGTTGATCTAATTAGAATCAGGTTGAGTCTACTAAAAACTAGCAACGTAGATGCAGCAGCCTCCATGTTGAGCAACTACCAGTTTTTTCTCAATAAGCTAAAAAGTACCGGGCTATTAAAGGTCTCAGCATCAGAAAAATATGTTAAAAGACAACGGTGCCCCAAATATCTCCACAATGGTATGATATTGCCCACTTTGAGTATAGCCCTCACAGCTTTGCTTTTGGTTTCACCCAAAAGACCTCATACCAATAGAGATAATTGTCCTCATCTATATAACATGGATCACTCTCTACTCTCTTCCCTTACTAACGTAGATCACTCTCTACTCTTTTCCTATACTAATGTGAGACTTTGTTTGCATACTTTGCAACCCCAACAAAACAGACTACAGAAGTGGATATCATAATCTTAGGAGGAAGATGACCATACCAATCCGGCAATTGGAAGAAAGTCCGGAAAAACGTTCGAATGCCCTCAATATCCAGTTGAACAATCAGTGCAAGCCCAAAGAGAAAAAATGCTCTCTGGCGCTTCCTTTCTAGGGGCCAAAGAGTGTTCCAAGCTGTAACAGAACATAAATTTATAAACACTGAAAGTTACTTGCAAGAAGAAATGTACAAAATAGAATAAGCTCCTTGAAATAGATCTACCCTGCATTGAGATATTCCCATAGCTTCTTCCACTAGCAAGACTATCCTTTAGCGTTCCTTGCTTCAAAACGCTTGCAATAACAGAAGCATATTTGGGAGCCTCGGACAAAGATCTAACAACTGAATAACCTGCGCGATGAATGAAGTATATAAGATTTTTTTAGATTGATAATTCGATATATAGATGTTCAGCTTGCTTTTTTAATACCTGTGGCTGGATGCACCATGCTGGCAGCTGCACCAAATGCGAGGTTTTTCTGCTCTGTGTTTGGCAAGGATCCACCGACTGGAATATAAGACCATTCCTACATGGAAAATTATGTCCTGTTCATTCTTTTACTGGTTTAAATAATAACTTACAAGAATAGCCAGGTGTGCAGAAGCTGATGAATTGAAACGCGAGAAGATAACTAATCGGCATATGTAATAAGCAACAAAGTAATGGGATTTTAAGAAAGGAGGAGCGTTTCATGTCATGTGTAATACTGGCTTCTGAGGAAACCGGATTCTTAAATGACTAATTACTTCACAAAGTGATAATATTCAACCCATCTAATATCTTTCAATAGCAGTGGAAATTTACCCGGTTCTACTTGGTTGAGTGCGTGTACAACTAACATTACACCATTGAAACCAACCCCCACCCCCCCAGTATTTTTCTACAAGGGATTAAAGATTGAAGTCAAGTTCTCCAACTATCAATAACGAAAGAAAAACACAGAATTCAACGTCAGGTCACAGGTGTAAAGTAATGCAAAAGCATCATTCGCATCCACAGTATACAGATGGTAGAACTTCATATACACAAGTTCTGAACATACAACAATAAGAATAAGATCCATAAAAGCCTGAAAAGAAGGGTGAGATCCAAAATTCTCTGATAAGAAAGTAGGAAGGTTGATTATGAAAGCTCAATTTCATCTGTGTCTTCTATCTTATTTGGAAGGGTGTTGGTTTCATGTCTGTTTCACTTAACATTACTTCCTAGCAAGGGCAGAGCATATTTTCCTAAAGAGGGGTATAACTTTTTAATTCTAAAAATTTAGAGCTGCAAACTAGAGGGAAACTAGTTTATATACTTTCCGTCTTTTCCTGACTCTACCCTTGCTTCCTAGTTGACTCTTGGAAGATAGTTAGGAGTAAAGAGGGAAAAAAACAGACATACACTTGAACGCCCACCTCACCAACTTTTCTGAAAGAGAAGTAAGGAGGGATAAATCAAATAGTAAAATGCTGTAAAGGATTGACATACAAATGCAATGGACATCATTAGCAAAGAGTACCTCTTCATATGTTTCCATAATTCGGATCCCCATAGTCTTTAATCTTGACATAAGTTTTTTCTTTAAGAGATCAAATGGCATAGCTTCTTTGGAAGCTAAACAAGTTTCCTGCAAATTTTAAATTTCCAAGTGTAAATCATCATGATTTTGAGAAAAATAAAATACAAGGACGAACTATAAACATCGTGCAGACCTCGAAGAATACTCTTGTCGGAGACATGGGCATGGCGTAAAGAAATGTTGGATATTGTGCTTCTAATGAATTTTCTTGCTTTGCGTAGTCCCTGTAGTCCATAAAAACCATAAGGCGTGGATCATAAGGATTGTTTTCCACCTGAAACGGTCATACAGATGGACAGAACTGTTATCAACACAGAAAGAAGACATTTCCATGTTAAGACAGAGCATTATATTGTTGAGGAAATAACACTGGAGAGCAAATAATGGGTCTGGTAAAACTAAAGTGTTATTCTAAATGTGCCTTCGCATTGCAGACTAAATTCATGTTGAACAAAAAGAACAGCAATTTAACTTGAACTATTCATGTCAATTAGAGAGAATAATATTGATGAAATTTGCTCCCAATCACCAATAAACTTAGAAACTTAAAATTGACAAGTTATGGTATATTTAATGCTTTATATATATATAAATTATTTAATGGTTCCAATATGTCCCTGGTAACAAACTATCTTAGAGTTTCATACAATATTCCAATAATAATTAACAAACTTAAGTAGTGCCTATATCGCATGTTAGATATCCATAAATGAATTAAATTTCCTCAACCCATCAACTTAAGCTTTTGAGTTGAGTGGTGGTTTATTCATCCTTAAAATCGCATAACAATCAATATTAACATCTCTTTCATATTTTATATAAGTCATCAAAAGAGAGAGAAAAGACAGTCCTACCTCGACCTCCACACCATAAGCTGTTTGGACAGATACCTTCGGGCCACCCACCTCATACTGCAGCAGTTTACCGGAAGCTGCTCCTGATGCAACTGTTGCGAGTCTACAATACAGATTATAATATTTTAAAAAGGAACAAATAATAAATGTAAGCGACCTCAAATACTACATATTGAGGCTAACAACATGTAAATAAGAGAATTCTATCTTACCTGCACGGGACAAAAATATCATGTTCGCAGGCTACAAGGCTATGACCAGTGGTAGTTTCAACAATGCTGTCCACTCTGGAGTTGAGATATGAAACACCTGACTTGATACACCTACGGAAATTAATACATTATACAATGTCCAAATGTATGAATTAATCGTGAAATGTATTGTAACAAAAATCATAATTTTTACTTTTTAAGCAGCTCCTCGTGGAGCAAATGTCTACTAACACGTCCATATGCACGGCCTATAAGAACAGGATCCTTGTCATCAAGATATATGACTGTATCCGGCCATACATGCTCTATACACCCTTCAAGCCCAAGATCTGCAAAGTTGAAAAATAATAGTTTAGATGAAAGTGTAGGTTGGAGTCCAACCATGGTAAAGAATCTACTGGCCCCATCCAGACATTAAAGATGACCTACACTAGATGCAATAAATGGCATGACCTTGATATTTGAAGGAACAACATTACATTGTAAACTAATTGGTACCATTTTGTTCTCCGAATACGAGATTTAAATATACATAGCTTATCAACTTAATTCTTTTTAGTCTTTAATTTGGCAGCGATATGATATAACATGGTGTTAGGAGGTCTTGGATTAAAAGCTTTGCCGGGTCATTTCCTCTCCAACTAATATTAATGGCTCACATGTTGGCTTCGTGAATTAAATCCGAGCTCACACGTGATGGACATCAGGTTTAGTGGTGATTTAACCATGCAAATATTTGAAGGTAAAAGGAAAAGATGTTATGGTCTGGTTAGGATAACATAAATTTTCAAAAGGAAATAGGGGAGAATAGACGAAGGGAAAGAGTTATGAGCATAGTTTAAGATTGAACAAAGCCAAGTGCAGTCCTACACATTGGTAAAACAATGAGCAGCATGCATCAACATACCTTTAAATTCATCTTCCCACACGCCATAGTTATTTGTAAAAGGCAGATCTGGACCAATAAGTCCAACTTTTAATCCCAATGCAGCCGATTCCGCAGCCAGAGCAAGACCAGCAGGACCACAACCAATAACAACCAAGTCCAGTACGTCATTTCCAATTGATATTGGTGGTAGCTGCATCAAAGATTGAAACGACAGGAAGTTTATTTATACAAAAAGACATTAATTCCATTGAACTGACCGCGTCAGATATAATTACACAATTTAATTGATCTATAGAGGCCCAAAAGATATAATATATATAAAGTTCTTAGAACCCCCATAAACTTAAGCTTTAAGATTAGGTTGAATTTAATCAATTAATTTATATAATATCGCACAAAAAAACTGAAGAGTAGAAGCATATTATATTAAAGTTGCACTAATCCCAAGAACAATTAAAAAACAAGTTCATATGAATTTGATCATTTAATTTATTCTTGATAGAATGATCAGTTAATTTTTACATGACAACTATGCTGATGAAAAGAAAATAGTCAAAGTTCAGGATGAAATAGTATGAATCGCCACAGAGTTGGCCGAACCTTGTCGGCGAGATTCGACTGCTTATCCATCGTCTTATTCTGCTGCATTTGAACAAACAAAAGCTCAGAGCCACCGCCCTTAATGTAATCTTCCTCGTCGGCAAATCCTTCTTTCACTACGATGCAACTCTCGCTTCCTGCACTGGCCATCACTAGCATCGAACGCCGACGCAAACCGTGCACACCGAACTGACGACTTTTAGTTCTACATAGCCACCCGAGTCTTCTTCTTCCCGTTGAAGCCAAATTAGGGCTAATAGAAGCGACCATTGCCGCAAAATTCCGAGCAGCGAGTCCCATACATTCCATGGTTGACTTCTCTTATCAGGCTTTCATGAAGAAGCGAGCATTTAGGCGATTAATCGAGATCAAATTGCTTGAAGAAAACAAAAACAAAACAAAACAAAAAAGAAACGAGATTAACGAAAATGAGAGTGAAAATTTCGTCGCCTCCGTTTGCTCTGGAACTCTCTTTCTCGTTCTCCTAAGCTTAACCTCCAAGTTGTAGCCTGGGGGATAGGGAGGGAAATTAAATGGTCATATTTTAATCACTGACTTCTCAAACGGGCATCCGTAGCTGCCACGTGTATGAACAATATTGGTGCGGACTCTTTGAAAAAGCTACCTTATCCATCGACGAAACGGTTCGTTTCGGTCAGGAATGATGTTAGAAACCGCGGTTCTTTTTTCCGCTTTTAACTGGCGGGAACCTTCGAAACACGATATGTCGTCGTATGAGTGTGTGGCACGATGGTCGATGAACAATATTTAAATACTGGTCTATCAAGATCCATCTTTCTGCCACCACTTTATATTTCTCATCTTAGATTGTTAAATATTTAATATTAGTAAGCATAAAATTCATCCTCTAGGAAGCTAAATATTTTCCTGCTCTTTATCTTCTAAGATAACACTTCGATGTTGATTTGTAGTTAAATTTTTAGTATAAGAAAGTGATAAGCATTTAAGTTTCACTTCTTGGAAAAAAAATTCTTTCCACGTTTATTTTTCTTACTCTTAAAAATTTAAGAGATTAATGCTAATTAATCATAACCTAACTAAACTATTTATGATAATTAATCATAACCTAACTATTTAAGTCGAACTTAATTTAATCTTAAGTAACCTTTAAAATATATATTTTGACCTACTTTAAAATATTTTAAAAAGTACTCAAAATATGAATATATATTCGTATGTTTTAAGCTATTATTTTATCGTTTTCATGCCTAATTTTTTAAATTTAGTGTGAATTCTGATTCGTTCAATTTTCTTACCCAATTTTACTAGTCAAACAAAAATTAAATTTAAACTTTTCTTTCTTTCTTTTTTTCTTGAGGGAAAACTATATTTCATTTTAATTCTATTCTTATCTTACTTTTAATAAATAAAGAGTATGGTTTTGATTTTCGAATACCATATTGGTCGGAGGCAAATGCGAATCTAAAAAATATAGTAAGGACAAGAGTAATTATCTTTTGAAAATTTAAAATTAAAAAATATATATTTTTAGAGTATAAAGACTTTGAAGATTAAATTAAACATTTTACAAATTTAGAGCCGTAGATTCTTGTTCAAATGTCAGGGGCTACACATAAGCACGCCGTTGGATCTCCGCCAAAATAATAATAATAATAATAATAATAAAACAAAATAAGGATTTGTTGGGAAATTAAGGTAAGCAGAAAATTGTACAGAATCCCAAAAGTCAATCGTCAACTCTTGGCAGTGCTGAGAACGACGACCGCTCAGCTTATCTCAGAATTAATTTGAGACTCCAAATTGTAGAAATTATAATGGAAAGTGAACCCAGTTAAAAAATAAAATAAAAAAATCCAATTGAATTGGACTCGTTGATGGTGGTGTTTGAGTTCCTGAGGCAATGACGTCGGTGGCGGTTGCCGTTAATGGCGGAAGGGGCGGCGGCGGCGGAAGCAGACGCGCCGTCAGATGGGCCGTCGAGAATCTGTTGCCAACCGCCGATCGTTTCATCTTGGTTCACGTTATGCCCAAAATCACCTCCATCCCCACCCCAAGTACGCACCTAAAAATTTTCCCGGGAAAATAAACTGCAGAAATTTACGTGGATGCCCCAATTTGTTGATCTTTGATTTGGCGTGTCTGTTTGTGTTTTACAGTGGGGGATCGTGTGGCTGTGTCGGAGTTAGACGCCGACGTGGTAGCACTGTACGTTCACGATGTGAAGGAGAAATATGAACAAGTTTTTGCCCCTTTTAAGAAGTTATGTAGAAGAGAAAAGGTAATTTGGAATTTGGAATTTGAATTTTAGCCCCCAGGTTTTTGGTTAATTGAATTGGGGCACCGTGCAGTTTCTTCTTTTGGTAGAGACTTTGGTTTTGGAGGATGACAATCCTGCCACTGCGCTTCTTAGATATGTATCTGAGTCTGGGATTAAACGCTTGGTTTTGGGTTCTTGTTTTAGAAGCTGCATAGCAAGGTATTTCTATTTCTATTTGGTAGTTAATTATTGTGAGGCTAAATTATAATTTTTCATTTCAGCATTTCTATGTGATGTAATGTTAATTCGCGTATCATTTTCTGTAGGAAGCTAAAAGGGCCTTCAGTACCCTCTGCTATTCTGAGAGCTGCTCCTGCTTCTTTTGATATCTATGTTATATATAAGGGAAGAGTCATCACAAGACCAACCGCTACTGCTCCATCTACTGGTAGTTTGCTGGAAGCACTTATGCAAATTTTGTATGTTTTGAAGATAAGACTCGCATTTTTGTATGTAATATTGTTTTTCAAATTGGATTTAACAGAAACAGACTCGAGGCAGTGGATGCTCGGTGATACCGATTACTACCGCGGCTCTGGTGCCATTAGCGAACAATCGTCTGCAACTTTCTCTTCTTCTTCAGTGTCGAATGTTCATCAAAGGGGTGATAGCCTTGAAGGCAATTCTACCGAGCAACTGAACTCTTTGAGTACTCTGACTGAGGAGGTTTTTTTTTCTTCTTTTTGTATTTTGAGCATTGCTTTGCTGCCATCTTTGGTTTAGTTTTGTAGATGGAATTTTGTCACCATTCATGTGGTAATGAGGCAATGCATCGATCCGGTGAGTTCTTAAATAAAGGTCCTGAATTGCAGGAAGATATGCGGGCTGAAGTCGAATCACTGCAACTAGAATTAGAAACCACCGTTTCGTTGTACAAACGAGCTTGTGAAGAACTAGTACATGCTCAAAAGCAGGTGAGAGTTTGATCATCCTATTGGTCCCGCCATTATGTTTTACGGGCAAGGTCTTAGAATCTCCAAGGAATTTCGTGGAGAGGATGAAGTTAGCACTCCGGTTCGATATGAGATGGAGTCGGTGACTGCGAATGCTTATTTGTGCTTCATTTTGCAGGTTCAGTCACTTACGTCTGAATGCCTTGAAGAATCAAGGAGAGTGAGTGAGGCCTTAGAAAGGGAACAAGCTTTGAGAACAGTTGCTTCTGAAGAAAAAGCAAAGCACCTGGAAGCCATGAAGGAGCTGGAAGAGGCAAAAGATTTGCTGGCTAAAGAGGCTTATGAAAGGCAGCTGGCTGACCTTAATGCCTTAAAGGAGTCCGTGGAGAAGCAGAAAATTGTTGATACTCTTCTCACTAATGACAGGAGGTACAGAAGATATACCCCAGCTGAAATAGAAGCAGCGACGAATTTCTTCGAACAAGTTAACGTGATCGGCGAGGGAGGATATGGGAAAGTTTACCGATGCAGTCTTGATCATACCCCTGTTGCTATTAAGGTTCTTCAACACGACGTACTCGAGAAAAAGGACGAGTTTCTGAAAGAGGTATCATTTGCTGCAAAAGGTTTCCAACTCTAAATAGCTTTTATCCCATTGATGATCTTCATTCTGTCACTTGAACTCATCTCTGCAGGTTGAAATTCTGAGCCAAATACGCCATCCACACGTGGTTTTACTGCTTGGAGCTTGCCCCGAGCAAGGTTGCTTGATCTATGAGTACATGGAAAATGGAAGCCTAGATGATCATATCTTGCTCCGGAATGGAAAAACTCCACTGCCTTGGTTTGTTAGATTTAGAATAGCTTTTCAAGTAGCTTCTGGGCTTGCATTTTTACACAATTCAAACCCAGAGCCTATAATTCACAGAGATCTAAAACCGGGTAATATCTTACTAGACAGAAACTATGTAAGCAAAATCTCAGATGTGGGGATGGCTAAGATCATTGGCGATATCGTGCCCGACAATGTCACGGAGTACAGAAACACCATTCTTGCTGGAACTCTCCATTACATGGATCCTGAGTATCAGAGAACTGGCACCCTCCGACCAAAGTCGGATACGTATGCTCTTGGAGTAACAATTCTGCAGCTGTTGACAGGGCGGCAGCCACATGGTCTTCTTCTCGCTGTTGAGAGTTCCATCGCAAGTTCCTCCCTCGGAGATATTCTAGATAGATCAATTACTGACTGGCCTCTGGCTGAAGCCGAAGTGCTAGCTCGACTTGCGCTGAAGTGCTTGAAACTTAGATGCAGGGATAGGCCAGATCTTGATACTGAAGTTCTTCCAGTTCTTAAAAGACTTGTTGATTTTGCAGATGCTTGTCAAAATGAAGAAAAGTGTCCTGCCAATCCCCCGAGCCACTACTTCTGCCCAATCCTTCAGGTGAATTCAGAACATACACTATCATCAGTTCTTGTCATAAGCTTAGAGCATACAATCTCATTGTCTTGTTTGTTCTTTTTGTTGTGTTTTTTGAAACACAGGAAATAATGAATGATCCTTATATAGCAGCAGATGGGTTTACTTACGAGTACGTAGCGATTAAAGCGTGGCTCGAGAAACATGACTTATCGCCCGTGACAAAGCTTAAGCTCCAGCATTCTATGTTTATTCCAAACCATACTCTGCGTTCTGCCATACAGGAATGGAGGTCAAGAGTGACATTTCCATCTTCCTGAATTGGAATGTTTGGCTTTGCATTCTTATGGCTTTTTTCCCCCCAAAGGAAAGAACAACTTGATTATTATTTGTTGTATAGTTATAGTAAAATCTCCCAATGTATAGTATTGTTTTGTGCTACAAACTACTTCAAATGTTCTTAAAGTTTATACACTTCATTGGAGGCTCTTTTCTTTCTTACTTTTTTCCCTTTTTTGAAGGTCAATTAACCGATCATGAATCAAGCGAATTTCCGTGTTTAATTCCCTGAAATTAGTCAAAGTGTAGGTAAGTTAAGTCGACTCGTTGACAGGCAATATGTATTTATGTTGTTATAAATAACACTATAACAGAAAAAAAAAATCAAGCAAGTAGAAGCAATTTTCCATTAAAGTAACACTAAATATTGTACCCAAAAGTTTTCCCATGGCTGCCTAGAACGATTTCCATTACATCAGTGGAAACAATTAATCACATTCCTCATATTTTTCTTTTAAAAAAACACACATACATACACTATTTTAAAACGAGCTTCACATAGTTTACATCAGGAGTGAGTTACTCATGATCAAATGAATTGGCTTCTTGAATTTCATCTATGAAGTTTGAACTTTTAGCAGCTGTTTCCTCCACAAACACTTCCAAAAGTTGATGCCATATCAAAAAACATTGGGTGAATGAATAAGATGTCAAAGTGGAAGAGGCTGTGCCTGACTTCTGCTCCTGGCGACCAAGTTTTCCAAAGTTAGATGGTAAAAGTGAGATTTAAAGGAAACTTGAATGAAGTATAGATACCAAGTAAATCTCACTATTCATACACGGAATCTCGGGTAAAACGAGTGAGTAAGTAAATATTTTGTGTATCACGCTTCAAATAAAAAAATGCTGAATTTCAAGCTCAAGATCAATGAGAGATCACAAGGTACCGTATAACATTAGAATGTTGCCAATGGAGAGCCAGCATCTTTGAAATAAGCTGCGAGATCGACATCAAAGCGTTCGAACTTTTTGATGAAAGGATGCATCTTACAAAATAAAAAATTATCCAATTAACAAGATATAATTGGCATTCAGATCCCAACTTGACATGTTCTAATTCAATCATTGGCAATAAAGAACTTGAGAAGGATCATTATACCAGAAGTTGGCGTGCAGAGCTTCTCTTCTGCGGGTCTTTCTGTAAGCTGACCAAAATATAAAAATCCAATTTATGATAAGGAGAGAATCCTAAATAGCAACATATAAAACCAAAACAGACAGGGCATATTTGAAAGTGTTTTCAGAAATTTAGGGTAGAGATATGAAACCTGTCTTCCAACCAACTTTCAAAAACAGCAGAAACCAATTCCATACAAATAGTAAACACAAAAGCTTGTTTACCATGAAGAAATGAAAGAGCAAAACTCTGGTGAAAACTCTTCAGGAGCAGAAGGCGATGCATGATCTACTACGGCTAGCATAACATCATAAAAGCTTCCCCATCCTTTAGCCTTGTCCGGTGGAGTGTAAGGAAATTGACCCGTTGCACATTCTAGCAACACCAATCCTAAACTCCATATGTCACTTCTGTTATCATATTTTTCCCCACTGATTCTCTCGGGCTGCAATCGTTGCAGTGAAACTAGTAGAAATTAGAGTGCTATACCATACATTAGTGAAGCAAAAACAGTGAACAAACACCAAGCAATAGCTACTGAGATTAGGTTCATGTTAAGTCACTTACAGACATGTAAGGAAATGTGCCAACGAAAGAATTTGCCTGACCAGATGTACTTGCCAATATAGCGCTAACACCAAAATCAGTAATCTTAACTTCCCCTCTATGATTTATCAACAAATTAGAAGGCTTAAGGTCTCTGTGGATGACATGTTTTTCATGGTGAAGGTATATTAACCCCTTGAGTACCTATATTAATTGGAAGAAAAAAAAATCGTCAACTTTAAATTTTTCGTTTAGATTTTCACAAATCGGACGTGCTTTAAACTTCCCCCTACTTGGTAACAAATGGCTGCAAGATACGGCTCCAGAATCGTTTTGACCTGTTTTAGAAGATCTGCGAGCGACCCACCATCCATGTACTCCAAGATGATGAAAATGGCACCATTGTCATAGAAGATCTGGTAACAGACCACAATGTAATGGTTATGTGCCAACTGATTAATTTTTAGTTCCTGCGCAACCAGCCTGCAACGAGATTCCTCAGCGTTCATTTGAATCACCTGAATCAGAAAGAAAGCGTCAGAAGGAACTCAACTCCAACACAAGATATAAACAAGGAAACACGGACGTTCTTTGTATAAGAGGTATATTATAGGAAAACTCTATAATCTAGATAGAGGCAAGGGTAAGCAAGTTCGGCAGAAACAAACGTAAAGCTTGTATTGTATTCACTAGCTAAAGCAATGGTGAAAGAAACATCATCTTTTTTAATTGAACGGCAACAGCTTCACCATCAAATGAATTTCCAGAACTAGCTGATCAACTATTTCAAATATTAATGAAATTATTAGCACACTTTTGATTCTGCTTGAAATTTTACTTAAAGAACATATACAACAAGTACTCAACAACACGTTACTTAAAAAAGAAAAGAGAGAGAGAGAGAGCGAAACCTTTAGAGCAAAAAACTGGTTCGTCCATTTATGTCGGACTAATTGAACTATTCCACCATTTCCTTTTCCGATGACTTTTATCGAGTCTAAATCTGCTAAAGACAAATGGCTGTCTGAGGGCTTTATTGGTGGAGGCTGAACAATCAACAAAATAAACAACCACGAAACAATTAAAAAGTGCAATTAGATCTGATTTTCAGGTATGGAGCTGAATTTTCTCGGGTACCAAACAGAGCAAAAGTAAAGTGTCATGCAGCTCCGAGAAAATAAAAGAAAAACACATTTAATTCCAGAATTGACAAAGCTGGTGGGGGAAATGGGAGAGCCATCTGGTAACAGTACCCTAGCAATGGAGAAAGAGTTGGAAAATTAAGGAAACAAACTAAAAATTGCGTACAGTTTCGTCTTCGTTGTGAGAAACAATCCGGACGCCGTCTCTATTGACAAGCAAATCGCCATCCGTGAAAGCACCACTCTTGGTTCTGCAATGATGGCGAACACCATAAACGTAATTAAGCCCAATGTGTTGGCAGCGCACAGAGAGAGGAAGAGAGGAAGAGAGAGAAGAAATTTCAAAATACATGAACTTGGCGAAGGAAGCTTCGTGAGGAGGAGGTAGAATGAGCTTCAAGTTAGGATTCATGGAGCTATCCTTCTTCATCAATGGCGGATTTGATTTCAGTGGCGTTGCAGGTCGTACAGAAGTCTTCGAAGGAAGTGAAATGGAAGTTCTACTTCTTGCATAAAGGATTTATCGGGATCGTACATATTATTTGCGATTTGATTAATAAATTTAATTTAATTTGTAAAATATATATTTTATTTTAATTTTTGAAGAATAATAATAGTATGAGTATGAGATAGGGTGTTGGTGTGGTGGGGTTGGTCGGGAAAGGAACAGCGGCGACCGGACTCCGACGTGAAGAAGACGACCGCTGACTTCTCTTCCACTTGTTTCCAATTTTTTTTACCACGGTTCTTGTCTAAATTTATTATCTTTTATCCTCATTTGTTTATGTTCCATATTCATTTTTGTCGCAGATTTTAGTTGCATAGTTAATTAGATCAACCAATAATGACATTAAATAAATTAGTAAATTATGTTAATATAACAATCCCTTTATAGATGAGTTGTACATATACATTAATTTATAATTACCTATAATTTAACCAATTAAAAACATCATACCACCTAACAAAGATATAAAAGGTTTAAGGAGTGGTCACATTCTATATTCTTTTCGATCATTATATTGGAATATAACATGTTATATCAATGTGTATATATATATATATTTTTGTTTAATTTCATTCATGATGTACTACAAAATGCTAATGAATGTCTAATGTGACGTGATCATTCCTTTTGGATTCATGATGTACCACCAAGATAGAAATGTTGGAGAAAATAAAGTCTACATTTTCTTATAATTGTGAGTTTGAACATATAATATATTAAAATAAGTAAAGCTCTGCCACATCATCTTTGATCAATTTTCCAACAGAAAGGTTTGACAAATGAAGGTGGTATGGTATGTGTATACACACTAACCTTCTAATTAGAAGCTTCCACTCAACACCTTGTGTGTAAACATCTTTATATATATTCAAGTAATATTAAGTTGGATTACTTCGGGCCAGTTGGAATGTTCTAATTTCTTGCTTCTCGTTTCTAGTTTTTTTTTTTGAAATATTTTTAAAATTATATAGAAATTTTGGAAACAACAAAGCAAGTTTATTATTTCTTGTTCTCATTTCTAATTTGTTCTATAATATAAATAAAAATATTATTTTATCTCACTTGAATTCATAAATGTTGGGACATGTATTTCAGTTTTATTTATTAAAAATTAAAAAATAAAACAAAAAATAAGAATTTTATCAAACGAGGCCTTCATATCAATCTCTCATTCTGAGAGGGAATTCATATTAACTTGTTTTGTAAAAATAAATTATTAATTAGATATTAAAATTAGAATATAATTCGTGTTTAAAATGGAAGAAATTTACATTTTTATAATGTCTTTATTGAAGTAATCAATTTCATAGAATATTTAATACTTCTTTTGATAAATCAATAAAAAAAGTGAATATAGCTAAGCGGTGATTAACGTATATCTTCAACCCATATATTGAGTTCGATCTTCCACTCCTACATATTGTACTCAAGAAAAAAAATTGAAATAAATACACATTAGTGTAAGTTAGCAAGAGAGATATATATATACTTTAGTCTCTAATATTTTCTTTAATTTAGTCTATATTGTTTAAAAGATTCAATTTAGTTCTTTTATGTCTTAATAGTTTTTAATTTAGTCTAAACTTTTAAAAATATTATTAAAAAATAAATAGAAAAATTTTAAATAATAAATTAAAAATACTGAAATATTGGAAACTGGATTATATATACAGTCTAAACATAAAGTAAGAGAAAAAAAGAAGTTCCATCCTCGAATTTGACTTGCTTTTTTTTCTGTTTTATTTTCTTAGTTTTCTTCCTTAGTAGCGTAGTGCTTTATCTTCAATGGTGTGAACAAGTGAGTTTCACACGTGTTTTGCACTTTTTTAAGGGAGATTGGTATTTGCTTTTACTCCATTTTGAGTCAAAGTCTCTCACACGTGTCATTGACTGTGATGCTTTGGAAAATTCTCCCTTTTATTCCAAGTAGCGTGTTTACTGTTTAGTTAGACTTAGATTATATATAATTTTTTTCTTAGCACTACAATTCAATATTAAATACCCCACATTTCGTTAAACTTGCAATCTTGTGTAATTATATATATATATATATATTTTAGTATAATGTGCAGGGGCAGAGATCGAACTTGCAGAGGTTCTAAATACTCCATTAATAAAGTTCTAAATAGTCACGGACGACGTATAATTCTTCAATTTTCTGCTAATATAACTAACTACTTGAAACT